CCCATGGAGAAAGGCATCACGGAGAGCTGCACTGTTCCATCCACTTTGGCTGGCTCTGGTGCGGAAATCAATGGAATAGTCAGCCACTGTTCGTTCGCCTTGCTTCAGTCCCATCAGTCCCCTTGCCGAATCAGAACCAGAATTCTCAAACCCAAAAACCTTCCAAAGCTCGGCAGCAAACAGGTCAAAGGAAACACAGGCTGGAGACTGCCTCTCCCACTCAGCTGTTCCCCATAGTCTAGCTCTGCCTGTCAGGTGGTTGATGACAAACGCTACCTTCGCCGGTTCTGTGGCGAAGGTGCGGGGCTGTAGGGCAAACAGGAGAGAACAGTTGGTGAGGAAGGGGCCGCAAGTCTCTCGATCTCCATCATAACGCTCTGGGGTTCCCACCCGTGGCTCAGGAGCATCGCTGGGTAGAGAAGAGGCAGGTACAGGTGCAGGAGCAGAAGGTGAAGCTTCTGGAGAAAAGGCAGATCCAGCAGATGAGGGGAGCTGGGTCAGTTGAGCTGCTAGCTGTTGCATCTGTGCGGCTAACGCTGCAAGTGATTGTCCCTGAGTCTCAGCAGCTCGTCTGGCTTCAGCGGCAGCTGCAGTCATCATGGCCTCATGTTGCTGCAGAACGCCCTCAATTCTCTCAAGGCGATTCAGTGGTGAGGGATTGTGTGCTGGGTCCATAGTTTGGCCAGATTGTACTATAACGGGTATTGACTGGACCCAATTGCAGCACAAACAAGCAGGTTCACTTTAACAACAGTCTTTATTGAACACCAAATCCAATGAAGCAGCAGAGTATAGCAGGTGGGTATGGCAGGATTCGAACTCGGGTCTTCCGGGTGATAGACGAGCAGATTAGCAGTGGACCACAGGTCAGGCAAGAGTTTTGGACTCGTGAGCAGGGAATTGTCCACAGTCTTAATTTGCTCCACGAGTGTAGTGAAGGGGAAAACGCTCAACTCACAGCTGGAGGAAGATTTCTTGGAGAGTGGTTCAGGTGAGGACTGGGTGAGGATCCAGAGCTTGCAGAGGAGCTGGCAGAACCAACGTCGGCAGAGGAGGTGAGTTGGCGAGGTGAAGCTGACGAGAAGGGGGATCTCAACAGAGCAGGAACAGGCTGAGTGCCATTCAGCCGCAGGCAGACGAATAGCAGGAAACAGGCAGGCAAAGCTCGTAGTCAAGGACAGAAGGCAGGCAGGTTTACCGGGGCTGAGGCGAGAAGCAAAGGTCAGGGGCAGATCAGGTCGATACCAGGTAAGCAGTCCGGGAATTAACGCTGGAGAGTCAGGCATGAGAGCGAAGACAATCTGGCAAAGAGTGAGGGGAAAGAAGCTGCATATATACTGGCCTGATTGGAGATGATGAGCAGGTGAGAGCAGCAGGTGGAAGCAGTTAGCTGATGAGGGGTGTGGCTGAGCAGCAGAGCAGGAGAGGGGCAGAGCAGACTGTTACATTATGTTTTACTTTCCGTGTGAACCTGATGTTTATTTTGCTAGCATTGTTGAAGAGGTAACAGGCATCAGTGTTGCCATTTTTCCACTTTTTGTTGCAGTTGTTTGTACATGTGTTTATTTGGATTTTCTTTGATAAATTTATTTTGTAAGAGTATAAGTTCATGGTGCATGTGAACAATCAATGTGGTACATGTGAAATTACAGTAAAAGAAGGCTGTACATCTCAATTTAATATTTGATTTGTTAAGTAAAAGTCACAGACAATGATTTGGAGGCCAGATGCCTTAGGCTGCTAGCCTGGCTGGGCCATCCTGTTGCGTGAATCACTTGATGTTCCTTCCCAGAAAACCCAAGGAACATCAAGTGATTCACGCAACAGGATGGCCCAGCCAGGCTATTAGGCTGCATCATGGTAAGATGATTTCATTACCCATAATTCTCAATGAAGGAAACAAGGTAGAGTTTTGGTGGAAATTCCAGTTACTTCAGGTTCTGTAAGCAGAAAAGTTTGTACTTTTCTTTATCCCAAACTAAAGTTTTAACCCCATTTGTCTTCAGTAAAGACTTATATTCACTCCAGGCTCTCATCTTGTCATTTTGAGTCTATGTAAATTAAGCTACAGTGTCGATTTGGCTGAAATTGTACTGAAAAGCTGATGGTGTCATTTCGCCCTGCTCCTTGAAAATGACTCTATTCTTGTAGTGCTTCTACTGAAGGAACTTCAGTAAATGCTTGTAGTTAATCAGATCAAGACAAAATTCTCTTTAAGGACCATCATACTGCATTGTTTTGTAACGTATCATAATGTATCATATTATATCTAATCCTTTTGAATCATATGGTATGGTATGGTATCGTACTGCATCCCACCTTATTTTACCATATCGTGTTGTATCGCATTGTATTGTGTTTTATCAAATGATGTCAAACTGTATGTTGTGATGTGATGCAGTTTATCCTATCCTTTGAATATAAAATTGAATGGAGCCATATCATATTACAGTAAATAACAATGTATAATACCATATTGTATTGAGCCATATCATATTGTATTGTGCTGTATTACAATATGCCTTATTGTATTGTTTTTTTTGTTTTGTTTTTTATGCATCATATTGTATTATATCACACTGTATTGTGTCTAACAATGTGGTATAGTGTTATTTCATATGAGCATAGTGTATCTGGTTGTTAACTGTAGTAGCAGCTGGACCTCTATTGCTGATATATTTGAGTTATCAGCTTCACAAACCGAGGCCTACGATGTTCAATTTATGAACTGTATAACATTGTCCAAATAATGAATGCTTTTACTGAAAAAACTGTATTTTTGATTGGGGATCTGTGAACCAAGAGCTGCCATGGAAAACACACACACACACACACACACACACACACACACACACACACACACACACACACACACACACACACACACACACACACACACACATTACATATGATAATGTCATCATAGGTGTATCACCTCTCGATAGATTCTTTTCCCCTGTTCACCTGGAGAATGTAAGTCGTTTTTCTTGAAGTATGAATGCTACGTCTGGGTTCAACTATCATCCTCCCTCCCCACTCGACGGCAGTGCGTCATCACAGACAAATGTTGCTCAAGATGCTTTAACATCCCTGCAGTAATGAAATCTTAGCGCCTGTTATGGCAGGATGACCTCACCTCAAGTAGCCAACCTGAAGGAGAGAAGTCAGGATAATGAGGTGTCTGTCTTGGTTGTTTGGATGTGATTTGTTGAATTGCTATGGGTTTACTTTCTTGCTTTCATAAAAACGGATAGTTACACCTCACAAAACAATTCATCACGTAATTATGTTCATACTTGTGTATTTGCATTTTGATACTGATAGAAACTTTGGATATCAGTAGACATACCACACCACATTTTACTAGCCAGAATCTGGTGTAACTTTTAGACACCATTTTGAAATACAGACACAAAACATAAAGTATAAAAGGAGAACAAAAGTGATTCAAAAATGCCTAATATTGTGAGTAAATAACAATAATGTAATTTTAAAGAAGTTTGAGTAGCATATTTACATTTGTGTATGATGTCCTCTCTATTTGCCAATTAATTTTGAATAAAAATATAAAGCAATCTTAGTTTCTCTCCTCTCTCTGACATAGTTGCATTACCCAAGGAGTTCAACTGATGTAGCCAGGGACTGTTGATTCAGTGTGATCTTATCATGTTGTTGTGCAACATCCATCATATCTATCAGCACTTGTGCTGCCTTGACTCCTCAATTTCCACTCAGGTTATTTCAGTGAGAGAGCTGGCAGCAGCCTTTACACTGTGTGTAACATTAGTTGTAAAAATTTTCACTGTTTTTTATACTTTTTCTAATGTCAATATTTAAAATGGAAAGAAAAGAGCTGTATAGAGAAGTATCTGTTTGCCTACATAGCATGTGGCTGAATAATGGGTGTCTCAGGCTTCATCTTAGTGTGACTTGAAACAGAGGTTGGTAATTGTGCTCCACTTCCTCTCAGAAATATCAACTTGTTTATTCTTAATTGGGGTGACAGTGATCTTTTCTGCTACATTTATTAATATCATCTACGTTTAACCATATTGTTAAGTCCCCAAGTCTAATCAGTGTTTAAAAAGCTGTCTTGTTTTTCTTTGTATCAAATAACTGCAGCTATGTGTCCCATTTTCTCTGTAAATGATAGCCAGATGATCTATAGGTGTCAGTGGCAAATTAAAAATATCAAACCATTCAAGAGAACTTTTGACCTTATGAATAATCAGCATGTTGAGAAGAATCAGGTGTTTGGAATCAGTCTGTCCTTCTTAAATGTTGTGATTGCTGGGCTTTCAGCATAGCAATAAGGCACTGATACCAATTGATATGATATACAGCCAGGATACAGTTTTTTTAAGTTTATTTTAAAAGAAAGTAAAAGAAAACTAAAAGATCACAACGCATTGATTCAACTATTTCAAATTCAACTTGATTTTTATGGCACTGACAAAAAATGCTGTTCAAAGTGCCTCACAGAGACTATAAACAACAATTAACAACAATAAATCCAGACCCTCCCACCCACACACCCACCCATGGACCCACACACACAAAGACACACACCCACTCTCACTCACCCACATACAGTATATACACACACAAGCGCACACAGTGTGAGAATTTAAGATATATTGTTAAAGAGACATGGCCTGACACCGTGACATTACGTGAGGAAAGAGCTACCTTTGGGACTGATATCTAAAGCATCATTTTATTCACCTTTTATATAAATTGCATTCACCATTTCATGTTTTCAAAAAGCTGTCAATTCCTTGTTGCACAATTAAGTAATAATTCTTCTATTTGTTGGCATATGCAACTTGACTTAACTATGAGATTCTCCTCTGTGTTATTTTGCACTCAGTCCTGAGCAAATTTAGGTTTCCTGCTTAAAAGACTCCTTTCTCTGAATTCTTTAGTCCAGTCTGACAGCCTTGATAAAATCAGCCAATCAGCGCTGTCCTCACATCACCCTCGCTGCTGATTGGTGCGCTAGAGGAGGAAGGGGATGTCGGGACAGCAAAGATGTCCGCGCTCGTTTGAAAACTTACTGTGGCCAAATCCACAGTTTGGCACCGCATACGAGTTGTTTTAATGTTGGCAATTAAGAGGACGTTGTGCTCGAGCAAGACCCTCTCGAAGGAAGGAAACGGACTCCGCGACAAGAGCCAGACTATTCCTTATTATCAGGTAAACGGTTAAACTGCCTCATGCTAACACAGAGCTAGCTTAGTATAACGTTAGCTAGGTTGCTAAACGTGCCGTACTGTTGAACTAAACTGTCAGAGGAATGGCGATTAAATACTCAGTATTTACCTTCATTAGCTGCTGCCATATAACAACTGATACTGCCAACAAAAGTATAATACAGTTGTAGATGATTTTAGTGTTTGTAAAACGCTCTTTATGATATTGCCAGAAGCCACTGTATAACACAATAGCCGGCAATAATGTTATAACCACTTTTTTTTACTCTAATGTAACCCGATAAATGTTTAGTTTTTGTTGACATTATTATTTAAGTGATTATCCCTCTGTCTCTTTAACTGAAGACATAGTGGGTAGTGTTGGTGAAGAACCAGAGTGTGATATGTTGAAGGATGTTCCTAATATTGTGACCCCCTCATCAACAAATAACGAAGGAGGCCAAAACATGAGGAAGACCTTTTATTACAATGAGCTCTGGTACATTATCAACATCCACTACTACTTCAACAACTAAAACTGTCAGCTGTCTGACCATGTCAATAAAACTGAAGATATTAATGCTTCTGTTTTTAACCTTCCTCCTATGTTGGCTTTTACTACACACCCACGATGTTAAGAGTCTTAAATCAGCTGTAAATTACACTCAAAACACTTCTCTATCATCCAATTTAGTTCTCATCTCTAGGTTAACTTGTTAGGCTTTATTATCCATTAAAATATTACTTATAATAGATCTGGGCGTTTCTTTGTCAGTATACCCCTCACACAGACATCTATACTGAATTGATCTTACATGACTGGACATCCCTGACGTTGTTTTTTGTGCAGGGAAATACATGGAAAAATGAGAATTTCCTAAATCTCCCATGATTGGAAGAGGATCTTACTGTCCGTGTGGTGCCTGACAGTGCACTTATGATTTCAGTTTTTGCTCTGATTATTAGATATTGATCTAACCGGGTCAACAGTGACCCTAGCACGACAAGTGCCATAATTTTAATAAGAGCATTTTGTAATTTTAACCAAAATATTCTATAGTTGTTTGGGTTTAATGTATTGTCTGAATTGTAGGTTTGTCAGCTAAATAGTACAGTTGTTGCAACAGTCAATCAGTTATTACATTGAATAGATTTTTCTGTTTAATTGAGTGTGTGCCCTTATCGCTCAGTTTAATCTCAGAGCTGAACACTTCACTGCAGCATATCAACAACATTATCCCATGTTGAAAATGTTAAAACAATCTTGAACATTTATTTCTGTCCTCTGTTATTAAATTTATTTAAATGCTGCAAATATCTTTCCTGTTCATACTAGAAATAATGCTGATATCTGGAACTCATGTCGGAAGTCGTGTATGAAGAGACAGCCACGATGATTGCCGCAGGGGAATTGCAGTCGTTTGTCCCGTTTGGCCGTGAGCACTGCAAGAACCATCCAAATGCCTTCAACCTGCAGCTCAGAGAGCTCCAGCCTGCCTCCGAGCTCTGGTCTTCTGATGGTGCTGCTGGCCTGGTGGGGTCCCTGCAGGAAGTCAGTCTGCAGGAGAGAGAGAGGGTGATGATATGATAGTTTGCTATATTATATTTTTACTCTTCTGTTTTTTTCATGGATATTGACAAAGAGAAAATAAATAGTGGTTTTATTTAATGTTGTGTTGAGTATGATGGTTTTTTTTATTGGCAGGAATGTTGGCAGCTTAGAAAGGGCTGCATCAGAGTCAGGGAGGAGGATGTAGAGTTTGAGGAGGAGCTCTACACAGCTGGAACTGTGGTCATCTGGAGCCAAGGCAGTCGAACTCAGGCCTCCAAAGTGTACAAGGCTTTTACCGTCGATAGCCCAGTGCAGCAGGTGTGAATATCTTAACCTAGTTCTGTTATTAGACACTTACCCTCATTGATACAATTCTTCTGCTTGAAGGCGGTGCAAGTAAAAATCCTATAAATCAAGTGTATACATAAGACACTAAAGTATCCACTGGGAATTTAATTTGGTAATATTGTAAGTTTCAACTTCACTTGGCCAAAACAAATGCCTTTAAAATGACTAAATTATACAGTGCCAGTTTGTGACTGTGATTAAGAACTATAACAAGCTTTCTTCTTGTCTTGATATATTGATATATGTAGTATAGTCTTTTCCTGTTACAGTGGAAATTTGTGGTGATTTTTTTTTCCTCTTGAAATACCAAAGTTGGAAATCATCACCTTTGACTCTCTCTTCAGGCCTTATGGTGTAACTTTGCGGTTCCCCAGAACAAGCAAAAAGGTACTGTATCATTCAAAAGCTTTGCATTGCAGTGCCATTACATTTTAGAAATAAGGAATTCACTTAACTTTGGTTTTGCTTTGCAGAGGATGAAGTGGAGCATACAGTGTGTATCGTCCAGAGAAGCTGTGTGAATGTTCACACTGTGTCGGGGAAGGATTTCATTTCACCACTACCATTCCAGGTGAGGAAGCAGGAGGTCTTACTTTATATTACTAAGGAAAAGAAGGTTAAAAAGTTATGTTAAACCCATCCTCTACATTCCTGGATGCTACCTGGATTAGTTTTTGATCTCTACTTTGGTTATCATCAGTCTTTTCATCACAGTCTTCAGAGAGAAATATTGCATATACTACCAGTATTCTGACAGCCATGGTCACTGATTTTGTCTTCACAGTACAGTATAAATAAATGTTCTTTTTAATTGATGAGATTCTTGCTGCTTTCCACATAAAACCCTTTGAATCTTGCTGCCTATTTTTCTTACACCTCTATTTGAAAGAGGCAAAAAAACACCTTTTCACATTATCATTGGAAAAAAGAAAAACTGAAATCTTCGAAGTTTGACTGCGAGTGAAATTTACTTTATTGTAAAAATAATCACAATATTGATAAACTGACAAAATTCTTAGGCTACTTGCCTACATGCACCAAGGGAGGTGCAGATAGTGAACCAAGTGGAACATTAAGTAGCTCAAGTGTCAGCTCTTTTACTCCAAAGTCAGTTAAGATCTAAACATAAATAAAACAGATTAAGAAGAGAGCAGCAATCCTCCCTGAAACAGAGCGGTTTGATTTGTGGTTTTTGTACTTTACAGGAAGATGTTGGCAGTAAATCTTTATTGTAATTAATAAACAGTAACAGTAAAATATGATTAAAGGTCCTCTGTCCATCCCCTCTTGGTTTCACCAGGTTTCAGATGTCTGGGCAACAAAGTTTGGATTATTGTTGGAAAGAAAAAACACAGCAACTGATGTACAAACCAGTCCCCCTGGGTAAACACTAATTCTGCACACTCATGCACCCAGACCCAAACACCCATGTGAAAATGACAACATAAAATTCACCAAGATTCAAACAGATGTGCTCCATATCAAAGACTCATGAAGATGTTGTGATCTTTTGAACTCTTTTTCTTTTTAGGGAGCCGTTGCCTACAGTTTTTAGCATGCTGCATCCTCTTGATGAAATTGCACCAGTTGTCTTTAAACCCACAGGTTTGAGACACACACACACGCACACACACGTTTATGATTTATGATTATATTTTGACCTGACCAGAGTATCTTTATTTCACAGGTCTGTTTGAAGGCTCCCGTGTTCAGTATGCATCTGATGTGAACATGAAGATTGTGTTCAGCTCCTGTCAGCCCTCTTTGGTTGTCTCCTATGACACTGTACAGGGAATACACTCAGTCTGGACCCTACGCAAGGTCACAGATGATGTGAGTATTTACACACACACAGGAACAACACAGAGGCTTTGTCAGTCTCCAGCCTCTAATCCTCTCGTCTTCATTAGGAGCGTTCGACGGTCCTGCGGTGTCCATCAGAGCCTGTTGGCACTTCACTGGGTCTGATGGCATCAGGCATCCTGACCTCTCACCTCCGCAACATCTCTCGCCTGGACTCACCTGGTGGGAGTGTGACCACAACAGGAGCAAGGTAGAAGTGATGTAAAAAGCGTTAAACAGTTATACAGTTGTAATCAATAAGTCCATTAAGTCATTTCTGTTACGTCATAACCACTGAGTTTCTCAGTTTTGATAGCTAACACCATATTAGAGATATAAAGTACTTTTTTGTTATAGTTTTATGCAGCGTTATTAATGTATTGTCTGAAGCAGTACTAAATGCACTACACGTTGTACTGAGTTAAATGATACTTCTCAAATAATATAGAGACATACAGTACACTTTTGAAATTGAGATGTACAAACTTGAATGCATCGTAGAGGGAAATAAACATTTATAATTTCAGTTTTGTACTGTAAAATGACTGAACGACATCTCTGGTCCCCTGCACGTTCCCTGACTCCTTGCTGGCTTTATGCTCCTGTGTAGTTGTGTTGTTGGCAGTGGCTCCCCTCTCCACTACAGTGCTCTGCACAGCCACTCAAACAGGATCATGACCTCCTCACCAGGTTTATACTCCCGTGTTCATTCCCCCAGTATTTCCAATATGGCTGCCCTCAGGTAAGTCTGAACTTAACTGAAGAGGAGCGTTTGTTTATAAAAATTGCAGAGAACATTTGAACTACTTAAAAACAATGTTTATGATGAGTTAAGATAAACTCAATATTTCAAACATATGTTTGTTGTGCTGCTGGTCGAAAAAAATTGCCAAGTGTTACAGTTTGACATGATCATGAGTGCTGATGTCTTTTCTTGTCTCTTTTCCTTCGATCACAGCCGTGCTCACTCTCCCGGCATGGCAGCTCCATCCTTTTCGGGTGCAGCTCGATTCAGCACGTCTTTCCACAGCCCCTCCCCAAGGGTGCACTTTGGCCTGTTGCCCTCTCCTAACAGCACAGTCAATGAGACAACTTTGGTACCAGAGATGGAGCCCATTATACCCGACCTCTGCATGGAGCAGCTGTGGAGTGAGACAGTCACAGCTGGCTGTCAGAGGTAATAACATGTCTGAACTTTAGATGACTTACTAATTAAACTTGGCTTCTGAATTTAAGGAGACTTTTCCGAAAGAATGCCAAGAAACCTCACTTTTAGTAGTTATTTTGTTTTTCATTTGAACACTCTTTGTACACTGTAACAACAGAGAAATGTCAAACTGACACCATCTTTTCCAACTTATTTTCAACTGCTGATGTGACTCATGTTGACCTTGGGGCAGAATCAAAATGCATTGAACTTTCCTGTGTTTGCAGAGAGATGAGCAGCCAAGCATCCAAAGTGTTCCTGACCTCTGACCTCTGTGAGAACCGTTACCTCTGTTTCCTGGTGGATTCCCATCAACAGCTCAGGTCAGGAAATAAAACTGAAATCGACTCCATGTGCATTGTACTGTATATTTTTTTTAGGATAAAATATTTTTATTAATCCAAGTCAGCAGAGCAACATGACAGTTTCTGTATAGTCACTGAAGAAACACTGATGGCTCATGTATAAAGAACGAGAGACAAACAATCCAAAAACTCTCTTTCATGATCCACCTTTTTGTTTTTTGTCTTTTCTTAGAAATTTATTTATAACAACAAATCTTTTTTACTCTTTCCACAGATGTGTGAAGTTTATGGAAAGCAACGATACATCCCAGCTCATCTTTGCCTCGGTCACAACTATCCCAGCCAAAGATGCAGAGCCTCTACCGGTATCTGACAGTATATCTATGCCCCTTGATCAATAAATCAGTTAAATGATTTCCTCATCTACGCTTGACAGAGAGGAAAAGATATTTCACATCATGTTCATTTTTTATACACAACTTTTCTGCCAGGATATAAATCTCTATGATTTTAAGGTGCCCATTAAATCTGATGTTACATAGTGTTTTATAGTGTTTTGCTGGCTTAGTTACAATCAGAGGGTGATGAAATGTTCCGACTCCCTTGTGTGTAAAAAAAAAAAAAAAATACAGGTAAAATATTAACATCTTTCTCTGATACAACAACCTCTGCAAACTGTGCTAAATGACACAGAAATATCTGTTCATCAGGTAATGAACATTCATCGACACACTCCTCTTTTTTCACTCTGTTTGTCTGCATATCAGTGATATCTCTACGGATTTATGGCTGTTTTTGGCAAATTGCTGTATGAGATGTTTTGAACATGCGTAGGAGGCTCCAGTCTTTTTAATGCTCCCGGATGTTTAAGAGCTCTAACTGATATAATTATGTCTTTACTTGTTCCTGTTACCTTTAGAAACCAATGGGTGTATATTTAGCCGAGCTTAATCTCTGCCTCAAAGGACTTTGTTAAACGTCAACAGAAGACCGGAAATCCAAACGACCAGTTTAAAAGAAGGCCGTTTATTAAGGGCTGCACTATGCAACAGAAGAAATATGATTTGAAGTTTTGTAACAGTTTAGATTTTTTTAATCTTGTGTTGAAACCCCTTTTCACTATATTATTTATGAGCTGTTTAGGATTACCTAACATGTCTCTGACACTCTGTTTGTGGCTCCTCAGAGTATAGATGCCATGCTGGTTCTGGAGGCATGTGGCAGTCTGGTTCTCTACACAGGAATCACCAGGGTAAGAAGAATTAAAACATGAGGACGTCATGTCATTAAAGGCAGATTGATACATGGCAGCTTGTGATTTCATGGTCTAGATTAAATTGACAGTATTTTTTTATTTATTGAGATGATATCCTGTTATAGAAAAACTAAAATTGTGTCATTGTGTTCCTGTAGGTCAGTAAAGTGTTTGTCCCTGGCCTCTTGTCACCGACCTTCAGCTTGACCAACCAAATCCCTCAGGCCAGCACGCCGATGGAGAATGTTAGCACACCGGCCAACCCTGGGAGTAGGCACCTTCAAAGACTGGATGAGGTATGGACATGTGCTGTGATTATGCCGTTCTTGAGTGATTTAATTTATTCTGTTCATGCAGTTTTTTGGTAATGAGATAGATTGCGTCAGTTATTTACTTTTATTTTGACATTGTTCTTGGTACGTCTGCACACAAATAGCAGAGATGTATTTTCAGTTTCTTTTTTATTCAATAATTCAATCTGTCAGTGTCTGATTGACTATTTTCACGGCCTAAGATGATCTGTCACAGTGAAAATGGAGGATTGATTTGGTTTCCTGTATTATCTTTTTTTTTATATTGTGACTTGAAATTTACTCATACATTTTGTATTTATTTCCTACTTAAGAACAAACCACCTGTCACTTCTCTACTTTTGCTTCATTTCTCTGGTTTTGTCCCTCTCCTCTAGGCTGCGATGCCTTCACCAGTTATGGGGCTAAGGGGTCCAAATATTAAAATACATGAACCTTCATTTCTGGATGACTGCACTTCGCAGCATACCGCACCCTACATCCACGCTCTGCGGGATCCTGTTTGCAACAGGGTTACACTGGTAGGTTGGTGTGTGTAGCTATTTGTGTGAGTGTGTTTGCATTGTTTAGAAGGTGACACAGTAGCTGTGCACTTGCCTTGCCTTACAGATGGACCTGTTCAAGTTTTTTATATTATTTTCATTTTTTAAATATTTCTTTATATTCTTCAAAATTAACTGTCAGCTTGGACCAACAAAATTTGTAGAAACATGATATTGTTCTACATTTTGACAGGAATTTTTTTTTTAAGTCCAGGTATCCATTGTACACTCTTGAGGCTTATTCTCATGAATTCTTTACAATTTAACTTAAACATCGGTATGCATTTCATGTAAAGATCTAAACATTTTTGTCCCAAAATCATTCCTGATTCCATGCGTGCAGTGACACTGAAGCCAGTTTTTAACATCTGACAGGAGTAATTTCTTGACACTTAAGTTTTCTCATTTAGCCCGCTGGTCCATTCATACTTGTGAATGAGATCCACACTGATTGTGTTTCTGCCTCCTGGGTCCAGACTGCAAGACTCAAAAAGCAGACTTCCCAACCCTGAGAAAGCAATATACTCACTAAGATGACGTCACTGCACCTTTCTTTCATGCACATCAACAAAAGCCCTTCCGCAAAGAGGTGCTAAACTGTGCCTGGAAGGTGCTGCTTGTCTGACATACTGTCGGTGTTTATTGATTTTTTTTCTTCTTTGACACCTTGATGTGGCTATCTAAGGACTAATTAATTAACAATTTAGCTCACTAGAGTTAGCAGAGCTACGCTTAGTAGTGCCTTTTGGTGGTTTTTATCTTAGAGAGCTGACACCAGCTTGGCTGTGTGGTGATTTGATCCATATAAATGAGAATAATCAAAGTAATTAAAGGATGATCAAGCATGGTCACCATTGGTTTTTTAGCCTGTTCTCGGGGACCACAAGAAGCAGACAAAACAGTGCTAAATTTCAACTTTTTGAGTAAAATTATGAAACATAATCAGCCCAATTAAATTGGCCAATTAACAGGGTTTGGAAATAATCTGCAGTGGTCGATACCTGCAGGCACAAGGCTGTTCAGAAAAACTAACTATTACAATAGACACTGCAGCCGAGTCAATATGGCAGCTGTAGAGTTAATCTTAAAAATCTAACCTAAAACACGTTACCTGCTAAAATAAACAACTGTGCTCGATTTTAATGTGCATTGAATAATAGTAATATTAGTAACAACAGTGATATAGAAATAATAATGATATTTACAAATGCAAATAAAGACTAATTAACTACAGCAACATAATATCTGCATACCTGCTCACGTAGTTGACCACAACAAGAAAACATACTGAATCTTTTCCCTGTAGTTTGAGCGAAGACACATGGCTTCAACAAATAAACAGGTGGTTTAACCAATGGTACTACCTTTCAGTCCATGTAAGCCTAACTGGTTGCGTAAGAGTTGAAGCTTTTAGGCATGTTTAATGTTTGTGGAGCCCAGGCTGTACTGTGACATCACTGATTGGGGTGATTGAAAGTTTAATCTGACACAGCATGGCAAAGGAGGCAATGACTCACTGCATTTACCAATTTATTCTTCCATTTAGCTGGATCTCTGCTTATCGGTAGAAATATTACATACTCTTGTGACAGACAATAACTTCTCTTTTTCACAGTAGACATTTTTAAACAGCACAGCCCAGGTGTAAATAATAGGATTGATGATAGCTGAATTCCATTCAGCCTCACAATTTTCAGGGTCTTGGTAATTATGCATGCTGGGTAAAAGATTTACTAAAGCAGCTTACTGCTGCCACACTATGCAAGACTAAATGTAACAAACAGAGATCATCTTGTATAAGATTCTCATGAACTGAGTCGTATAAACTGAATTTGTGCATCATCTGTCCTTCTCTCTTTAGGAACTGAGCAGTGGTCTAATGCTGAGGATTTCAGTCCCAGAGATTGCAACTTCAGAGCTAGGTGAGGAACATAGGAGGGATTCTTCCTGTGATCATTTCGCTATCTACTTTTTTAAAATAAACATAACACACACATTCGCACACACACGCGCAAATGAAAAAGCACACCTGTATATGAGTGATACATTTAAAACAAACATGCTGAGAAATTGCCTTGGCTGGAATAAATAAAAAAAGACAGAAAAAAGATGTACCCCAACAGTAGTCGTTGGTCTTTAATATTTAGCTCTTTGTTGCTGAATTATGAGCATTTTTGAATAAGACTGTTCTCTCTAACACACAGACAAATACGCACACACAAACACACACACGCAGACGCACACACAGATAGCTGAGTCAGAGTAGTTAGGTCCCGTAAATTAGATTTGAGAGCTGCCCTACATTGTTACGCAGTGACGTACAATCTTGATGTATTAACAAAGCCATTGCAAGACCCACACACAGACACTCGCTCTCACTCTCACACGTGCAGCTTTCAACTGGAAGTGATTAAGCCGCAACATAGAGAAAGTTTCCATGTAGAGTTCTTAGAGAAAATCAGACACACAGTGAAATTTTTTTTCTTGTTCCTATTTTTCTTCAGCCATTTAATCTATTTTCTATGTTAGGAAAACTGTTACTTTGGTAGCATCTGTTGTTTAGAGATGGGAGGTGTATTGTTTTTTATTTCTAGCCAGCCAGTCACTTCCTTGATCACTCAAACCTACATTTACATACTCAGATACATCGGCTCCCCACTGTTACCATTGCTGAGCTGTCAGCCTGGCAGTAAAGTTGCAAGTCCCATGTAAGGAGGGTGTAATCCTCATTGCAGCGGTTTAAGGGTTGATCCACACTCTTAGTGTGATTTAGTGCATGTCATTCCCCCTTTCTGTACTGCCCCAAAAATATATAATTGTAACCATATCTGTGTGGGGGAAAAACCCAAAACTAAAACAAGGAACAATTACTGCTACAACCAGCAGCAAAACTGCTTAATCGACTACTTTTTATTCCCTACAATCCAGGCTTGACGTCAACATGCCCCAACCCACCAAATGTAGGTAGATTTCAACTGTTAGGTGTAACAGGTGCACGGCAGATTCAATTTTATCATAGATTTTAATTGTTGTTTTCTCAAAAGGCATGCTTCTATATGCTACCATTTTCAGCAAACGGGGCCAACTGCTGCCTAGTTTAGTAAGTATGTAAGACAGAGGAGCATTGTGGTGGCACAAAAACTGTAACAAAACGCTGAGAGACAACACAAAAGAAAATCGAAAAATAAAACTGAAATGATGTACGATATACTGTATGTTCAGCTAACCAATCAGTTACTCTATTTTTTATCAACATTCACTTTTTTGTTTCGTTTTGCTGAAGAGAAACCTTCAGTCAGTTCAACTGGTGAAGTGGTTGGCTTTAAAATTTTAATGACTGGTTTCTGTAAACTAGCAACAGAGCTCTATTGTAAACCTGCTCCCATTTAGACAAATATCATAGAGCCATAATGTACCCAAGTTTTTTGGGCCATTTGAAGTAGTGGTCTTCTTGCTTTTTCTTAGTGTTGCAGTAAAAGGTCCTTTGGTCTGTTCAGATCAGCTCTGATGATGAACTTTTAAGTTTCTTTATCTCCTTCAGTCTCAGATAAAGCTCATCTTTTTTTTGGGGGGTGGGGGGTTAAAAGCTCCTGCATCACTTAGGTGTGTGTATGACTCTGTCCGCCTTTTGTGTGTCTACCTTTACCTCTCTCTCATGCGTTACATTCCATTATTTAGTAATCGATCCTTCAGACAAGGCTCTAATGAAATGGCATTTATCCACATCTTCACTGACCTTTCCCACTGGGGATGTCCAATTAAGATAGCCTGCTGACGTTGATTAGGAATCTGATTGTTCAGAGTTGTTAGGACACACAGTAACACATTTTTTTCTAATTTCCTTTTTAGTTTTTTATGATATTAATGAGAAAAATGTATCTTGCAGCAGGCTAGCAATCAGTGGAAAATGCAATTACGTTACAATGCATTAATTGCGCCTTTTAAAGTTCAACTCAAACATGTTTTGTTGTGGTCAGTCAAAGGTAGAGTAAGCACTATTCTGATTTGGCATTCATGTATTTGGAGTTTGTTTTTAAAAACAGTGATCTTTGTTACTTGGCCAAGTCCATAAACTTGAACCGGCAATTTTCTGGTATTTTTTTAAGCTTAACTGGATCCTTAAAAAAATCATTTTTCATCATTGAAAATTAAGAGCTCTATTTATTGTATTTATCATCATCTTGCTAACTCATAATTACCTTTTTTTTTTTTTAAACTTATCATCATTTCTTTTTTGTTTGGCTGAAAATCCTCATTTTAAGTAATGTATCTCTTCTTCAGAGTACAATTTTAAAGAGAGCTGGAGATAAAGTTCAGTATACTGTGTTCATAAAATTATAAATTGCAGCTAAAAAGCTAATTTAGCAGAATATCATTGAAAACAAAATTTAAGACAGGATTGATGTTCTTGTTTTTAGCACTGACAACATTCTGGGGTATGTGAAAATGTGTAAAACGGCTTGTATAAAACATTCCTATCGTAGATAGTTTTCGATGTTGCAAAGCTCACAACCCAGAAATAAGTGATTGGAATTTCATGTATTAAATTTTAGTGGAGGAGGTACAAGTTTTAATCAAAGCTCATCTTAAATAATGTTACCAAGGTTAACACTAATTGTAAAATAATGTATTTTTTTTTCTTGAATCCAGTATTGTAGGGGAATTATTTTTGCTTTCTAGAGAGTCAATAGTTTAGGGATAAAGAAAATAAGGTAAAGCAAGATTAGGAGTTTATTTATTTATTTATTTACAGGAAGATCGCTTTTTTTTTTTCATCATGAACAAAAAATGTTTACTCATTGAGTTGTCATTGGTTATTCCTGTAGGTCATTTTCCACTGCCATACAGTGAAATTACACCTTATATTTTTCCAATAGTCAGTCTTAATCTGTCTCTTTTTCCTGTATGTATTTAGTGAGAAAGTGCCTCCAGGCGATTCGTTTCATCCTGCCCAAGGACGCAGCCATGAAGGTTTGTTAAACTTAAAACAAGAGTTAATGAAAAAAGTGGAAACTTCTGCGTCACTATTGTTAATTCCATATTATAGAAATTCAGTCTAGACTGTGCCTATAGGTTTTGGTGAAGTGGTACAACATCTACAATGCCCCTGGTGGTCCCAGTGCACACTCTGAGTGGAACCTGTTCGTCACATGCTTCATGTCGCTGATGGGTTACAATACCGAGCGCCTGACGTGGAAACAAAACGTGAGTCACTGTGGAAGTGTTATCCTCTCTCACCCTTAAAACCTGAATTTAACTTCACTTGCCCTTTCACATGTCCTGACCGTACTCTCTGATTGATACAGCTGCATTTTGAAGTGCCTCTCTCTCCAGTGATTGCAGCCAAGAAGGCTCGCCCGTCTGATGGAGGCTCTGATGAGGTCTGTGACGATTCTGATCCGTTATGATGTCACTATAAAATGCACGGCCATCTTTGCAACTAGTTTAAGAAAGTTTGTAGACCCATATGCTCTCACAAATGTTCAGGTTCTTTTTATGAAACTGAAAGCATTTGGGAAACACATACAATTCTGCCTTTTCTTTTGTTGATTTCAAAACACTTAATGAGGGTGCAAAATACAAGAAGAGATTTGTTTTGGAATATCCTGAAACTGATGAAAAAACTCAGATCGCATTTAATGGTTGTAACAGTTTCCCTCAATCAGTTAGGAGCCCGATCATGAAAATAACACCATAATATCAGGAAATGGAAACCAGTGTTGCAGACAGTAAATCCACAAAGTCCTTGTTATTAACTGTGAGTTAAAAACAAGATGTTGACCAAAACTTTCTGATCAGAGGGAAAAGCTCAACTGTTTTGCAGCTTCTCAAACTTTTCTAAAAGGTTTTTTTTAATAATATATTTGTTGTCCATAAAGGTGTTAAACAGTGCAGAAAATTATTTGACAACACACATTTATACGCACACTGCCTCCTAAAATACTCCAGATTAAATCTTGAGTGTTGTTCAGTAATCGTCATCTGTGTGGATCCTCATGTCCCCAAACATGACTGTCAAATGTCAAACAGCTGGAAGCTTGGGCTGTGTGTGTGTGTGTGTGTGTGTGTGTGTGTGTGTGTGTGTGTGTGTGTGTGTGTGTGTGTTTGTGTGTGTTTGTGTGTGTTTGTGTGTGTGTGTGTGTTTGTGTGTGTGTGTGTGTGTGTGTGTGTGTGTGTGTGTGTGATTATCAGCATGTTTGACCTGAGGAATTGCATGAGTCACATTAAAAGGAGCGTGCAAGGTTCTAATGGATCATGTATATATAGCATTGGTAACGTCATTTAAAGGACAAACTGTTCGGTTGTGAATTGAATGCAGTTAATAAGTTATTTACGTGAAAGTAGGTTTTGCCAATAGAGCTTTCTCTAAGAGACAAAACGGAATGCAAAGAAAGCAGACTAAAAAAATCTAGTATACAAAGCAATGTTAAAGATAATGTTCAAAAGAACTGAGAGGATCATTTAAGTGTTTGACGAGATCTTTGTCTGTCAAACAAGCGAGAGAGTCAAGAAATCCTGAGGAGATTATTCCCTGTTTAAACATGACCTCTTAGCCTTTATGCTGCTGCGACGATGTGTTAGTTTAACTAAGGTTTAAAAACAAATATGCAGAAAAAAGACACTAATACTTCTAAAAATGCCCTCATATTTCCTTTCTCTGAAGGATTGGGAATATTTGGTGGGGTCTCATTACCACTGTCAGATGAATTCCCAGCCTGTTTGTAGACCAGTGGACTCCATTGGCTCCAACAGCTCTCTCAGCCCAGAGACTGAAAGCATGTCCTCTGTAAGTAACTCACTTTGTTTCAATTTATCTCTGGATACATTTTAGATGCACCATTATGTAGAGTAGAATAAGAGAGGAATTGAGTTGAAAAGAATAGAAGAACTTTATTGATGCCTGAAGTAAAATTCAATAATTTAATGTAATATGTACGTTTGTCATTGGACTTAATGTTGAATTGATACAGATAATAATGATAATAATGATAATAATAATAATAATAGTAATAATAATAATGATAATGATAATAATAATAATAATAATAATAATAATAATAATAATAATAATAATAATAATAATAATAATAATAATAATAACAATAATAATAATAATAATAATAATAATCATAATACTGCAACATTAATTACTTTTACCATTGATTTTATTTTTGATATTGTTGTAAGAATACAGTTATTGAGTGCACACTTATGGCTGCATCTTGCAATGACAAGAGTATCCCGATCATGTACAGTAATGTATTGTATGTGTTTTGTTTATACCCTATTCCAGTGTCTTATTTGACCTCCCCCCTATTACATATTTTGAGCTGGAAACTGACATTTTCCAAAAAAGGTTTACAAAGTGAGAAATCATTTATCCTACATGCCATAGCAGTGTGTCCTATGTGGTTGCATATATCCCAGTAAAGAAGGAAATATTTAAAATATCTAATGTTGGGCCATAAATTCAATAAACCACTGAGTTTCCCTTCGGGGATAAATAAAGTTCTTCTTATTCTTATTCTTATAAAGTGAGGAAAGAAATCAGTGAACTTTTCTGGTGACCAAATGTTTGATGCGCTAACTTGTCTCTGAACACTAAGTAGTGAGACAGCAAAGTTTTTTTTTTTTTTTTTTGATGAGAAACAAACATAATTAATATGAGGTAATTTTTTTCCCCTCCTGTATTGTTTTGTTGTAGGCGTCCTCTCCCTGCAGTCCACCTCTGAAGCTGGACAGTTCCACCCCTCTCTTTCCCCACATCCCTGCCCTTTTCTACGTGCTCCATCTGCTTTATCAGGAGCTGCAGCTGGACGAGCTGCAGAGAGCAAGAGCTTCCTCACTGGTCTGTCTGCTACAACAGCTGGCTAGGTAACCACACTTCCTGTCTGTGTGTGTACAGTGTGTACTCCTTTTTGAGCTAATACCAAGTAGCAGGCCAGCTTGATAATGGAATATAATAATGAGCTGCATAAAACTCAGCACATGAAGAAAATCCAAGCACATTTCATTTTTCATTGTAAGCGCTTTTGTAATCACAGCTCTTTAGTCTCTGCACTTAGCAATGAACTTCAACAATCTGTCAAGTGACCACTGTGATTGGTGACAAGGACAATGACAGAATAGGTGGAGTGGTACTGTTAAGCGCTCTTCACAGTAATTGGTCTCTGTTAGTTAGTATGTGGGCTGTTGTAAAGTGCTGTGCATTTTTTAAAGTCTTGCTGCTTTATCAGGCTAATTCTTTTGGCTAATATATTGATCCTGATCGTTACACAGTTATTAAACAAAGAATACATATTTAAAAGTTTTATCTCACTGATGTGAGAAAGACGTGTGGTGGTGCCTTCACACATCATGTATGATGACTTTTCAGGATTGATTGAACCATCCTGTGGTGATGCCTTGTTTCACAGCCTCAACAGATGAGCTCGTCCCATCTCTGCTGTTTCCCATTTAGTTTGAAAAAAACAAAACAAAAACAGAGTCAAAAGACAGGAAATAAAATACCTTTCTTCTTACTTAAAATACAGGAAATGAAAACCCCTTTTCTCACTTAAAAGACAGAAAATAAGACCTTTTTCCTTATTTAAAAGAGGGGAGAAGTTAAAAAACAACAGGAAGAATAAGTAATAAATACATTAATTTAAAGTCTGTAGATATCCTTACCACAGTTTAACAAAGATACTCAAGCTTATGAGGATGCACAAATGCCTTTGTTGTTATATGAGAACAGAAGTTGAGGGATCTAAAAGGAGATCTGATTAGGTTAAATGATATAAGAAGTCTGCGCACATTCTACATCTTCTTACTCACAATTTTGCGGTGTATAACACATACCCAACTGAAAACGTGTGTGTGTCGGGATTAGAAGCTATTGATTATCTGATGTAAAGTAGAATGTCAGTGAGTCATGGCTTTTAATTCCATGGAATATGTGTTTAATAACTTCACAAAAACATGTTAAATGTCACGAATGCGCTTGAAGAATGAGGGTTCAATTGTAGGTTTAGTTCAATATTCTTGTCTTAAATTAGTGCCCGGCTGTGCAGACTTTAGCACTAAATTAAACTCAGTACAACAAATGAGCAACCGACAAAGATCAGGGACTTTCATTTTGGTGGAATTAAATGAAAATGAATGGATTAGGGATATAAAAAAATCCTTATGTAAAAGTGTTTGTTTGTGTTTGTTGTTCTCAGAGACCTCCAGTTGGACGAATATGTCGATCTGTACTGGAGAGACTACCCTTCACTGATTAGTGGCTTCAATGAGAGCTGCCTCATAGACCAAGGTAAGTCCTATTTCAATTTCTAATGACAGAATCAAGTAAGGAAACAGATGAAGCAAAACTATTTAGACCAAAAAGGGATGGTGAATAATTTACAGAAGTGGTGACCAGGTATGTTTATTGCTGTTATTGTGTCAGTATCATGTTGACAGGATGTTGTCTTGGAAGTATAAATGAATATCTCTGAAGGCCATGTCTCTGAAGCTCTACAGCATAATTAATAGCTAGTCATGGTAGTAGTATGTACAAAATATCCCCCAAAATATGGGTAAGATTCAATAGTATCAAAACTTGGATCCCATCGAACTCTACCTGTCATAATCTCTTATTCTCTTTCCTTGACCCTCCTCTCTCCTCTTTCTTTCTCTCCCCTTTTCTCCTTTCATCAAACTTTGCCCTCTCAGGCCAGTTGAGTCAGATGCAGCGTCCGTCCTTCCTGAAGGCAGAGCCTCCCTGTGTGCTCAGCTGGCTCAGTAGCTGTCTGAGAGGAGAGGAGGTCCCACCTTTCCCGTACCTGCCTTGCATTTGTCAGAGGACCAGACTACTGGTTTTGGTAGAAGCAAATCTTACAGTTTTTCTCTTTTTGTAGTCCTTAACCTTTGAACAGGTTTCTCTTATTTAGGCCTTAAAACATTCGATTACACCCAATAACAATAATATAATAACACTTCAAAAAGTAGCTAGGTTTTCTACCTTTTCTACGACTGCAGTTATACAGTGTTTTAGAGGGTTTAGATGATGTCTTCAGTGTTTTGTGCTAAGGCACTGACATTACTCTGTCAGTTGTTACATTTAAATTTTCACTGTTAGCAGGCGTTTGCTTTGTGTGCACGTGTGTCTGAGAAAGAGAGAGACAGTGGGGAAAAAATCCAGCTTTTATTGAGACACAGTCAGATTATCTATTTACTTAACATGCCTGTGATTTTTTTTCTGAACATGAACAATTAAGGGATGGTTATGGTTGGAGATGAACAAAAGCAAATGTGTGTCGTGCTGATGGACTCAATTGTTTCTCACACTCATGATTTACTCACACTCACATTCTTCCACATTTTTTCTTTAGTATTTTCAAAAATAATGCCATCAAAGCAGATTTACTTTCTTGCACTTCTGACTTTAAAACTTTTGATCCAGGATCTTCTGTCCAACAAGATTTCACCATCTCTGCTTCATCTGTCAAATACTAAATGTAGCATTAAATTTATTTTTAAGTACTGTCTGGTTATTTATTGTCATTATCTTTATTGTTTGTATCTTGTATGTTGGATATCTACAGAATTTAAAAGGGGATACATTTCATTTAAAGTTTATTTATGAATGGGTATAATGAAAATATTATTTTCTAAAGGTGAATCCTTTTACTCTTCTTTGTCTCTGTTTATCTCTCCTCAGAGTTACGCTCTCTATATTCTTCAAGATGAAAATGCAACATCCACAGATGCATCAAAGTACCTGACCAAGCTCTCAGCAGGTGTGTGTTTTTGTATCTACTAGCCTTGAAGATCATTCCTTTGACTGCATCCTAGGACTGTGTGTGTGTGTGTGTGTGTGGGTGGGTGTGTGCGTGCGCGTGCGTGTGTGTGAACATTTATTGACAACCAGCCCTTTCACCCGTCACTCCTGTTGTTCCATGCTCCAGGGCTCAGTAAAACTAGTCACCTGATTTCCTCTTTTTTTTTTTTTACTTCAACAAAAGAAAAAAATCTGATACAGTGACAGCAGTCGCTGCAGGTATTTGATCTGCCCTTTTTTTTCCACTGACACAGAATTGGTCATTGACTTGTGGGCGGTGTGAGAAGTGACGATTTTTTTCTGCTTTATGTTGGACTTTTTTCTCTCTTTTTTTTTCTTTATAAACATAACAAATCTACGCAGCAGCTAATATCTTCCCACATCTGCACACCTCTCTGCTCATCAATAACTTTTTTTTGTTGCCAGCTCTTTAGCAAAGAATCAGTGGAGGTTTAAATATACTTAAACACAGCTGAGGTTAATTTCTGTCAGTTGTAAAAAAGAAAAGCAAAGGTCATCACATCAGACCTATTTGTAGAACAAATTAATACACCTGTTAACCTTCTCCCAATGCTGTCTGTCTCTTTGATCTTCAATCTGCCCCCCACACCCTCCTCTTTTTCAGGCCAGAAGTCCTGCACCAATGAACCCCACTACAGAAGGTAATTACAGCACAGAGAGAGAAAGAGGATTACAATGCTGCTTGTTTTATACAGAGTAGCTACAGGGAAAGAATTCACTGAAACATTTTGGATCATGTTCGTTTTTTGCTGATTTGCTCTGGTGTTTTGGAAAATAAAGAGCACAAGTAAATTATGTATTTCAGTTACCATGTGGTGTTTGTGTTGAAACACAGTTGTGTTCACAGTCAGTACAGCCAAAGCGGACAAAAATGCAGTTTGTTTTCTTCCTTATCAAATATTTTCACAGCAAATCCTCTAAAACATTTTCAAACTCTTGTTGTTTACAAAAAAATACCCCCCTGAAGACAGAAATCTGCTTCTTCACTGCCTGAAATGGTGCATTACTGAGTTTGTTGGTGCATTACTGCCACCTGTTGATCAGTTGAATATTAAAATGTAACTTTGACATGAATGTTTTCTGTTTTGTCATGAACAAAACTGTTCTATAGTAGGCTCGAAAACTTCAGGGCAATGTGAATTATAGAAGTTCTTAAATTTTAGAGGGCAATATACAATCTGATCAGCAATCATTGTCATTGTTCATTGATCTGTTTGTAATTGATTGCTGTGATTGAGGTTTCTATTTATTCGTTTCAGACAGAGCATTGTGAAGGTTAATCTCGCCACTAAGAGTCTTGCTGAGCAGCTGGTGGTCTGGCTCACCTCAGAAGGTAAGACAAGTGGTTTTTGTTCATGCAGTAGTAAAAATAAAGCGATGGTGCTGCATCCTCTTTTTTACAGGGTGTAATTATAAGACACAAATCTACACACAGACACCTGTTAGTGACAACACGCTTTGTGAACTGGCTTTCCAACAACCAGACTACAATGTCAGTGGAGTTAGAAGTTTTATTCATATCTTAACATTTGGTAGGTGCAAAAAAGTCATTTGAACTGTAAAGGCTAAAGTCTTCTCAAAGAATAAAAGGAACTCAGTCTATAAAATACAAATAACCATAAGATAGTGTCATTGCTTTCCTGCATTTAGAGGACTTACGTGAAACTCTGACTGGCTTTTCCGCTAGCCGTCTTCAAAATTGTGATATTTTGTGTTGTTATAATCCCTAAAAACTTACTTCTCTGATTCAGGTTTCACACTGAAGGACCTGGAATCTGTCCCCTTCGGCGTGGCTTTGCCCATCAGAGAGGCCATCTATCGCTGCAGGGAGCAACCGTGCTCTGATTGGTCAGAAGAGGTCTGTCTGTTGATTGGGCGACAAGATCTGACCAAACAAGCGCACAAGATGACCCTGGCCAAGAGCAAAGCTGTGAGTGTGACTTCACTTTAACCCAAAAAATGGTACCAAGTGTATCAAAGCATTAAACAAAACAAAAACAACACAATTTGAAGTCTTGAGTCTGATCTCTTCAGGTATTTTGATCTCAAAACTTAAAGAGGACAATGTACACAAATTTAGACAGTGCCCACAAGTCAAGTATAAAGGGTATGAGTCCCAGCTCAATCTCAAACATTATTTAAATGGTGTTTCATTTCTTGCATCAATTTCCATTTCATGACTCATCAACCACTCTGAAGTTTACAGAGCACTCCATGTAAAAAATTATACTTGTAAAGTGACCAAATGCGCTGAAATGAAAGCTGTCAACCAAACAATGCTTGATTTTTTTCACTTGTATCACTTTCAGGCATTAGCTGCTAGAATAAACTCAAAACAGGCAAAATAGTTTGGGTTCAGTAACAGTAACTGAAGGTTATCCAAACTGCCATTTTGACTGTTTGTGAATTTGGGAATGATTGTCTGTGTGTTTGTCTAGTCCGTAGGTTCTGGCCTGTCCTTGGAGCCTCCTGCTACCACGGAAGCAGATGAGGAGGAAGATGGGATGTCAGACATCATCCAAGAGGTAACAGACACATTAACATAATCTGTGGCAAAGTTAGTCTGCTTTCAGCGTACAGATACTTTAGAATAGCCCCAACCTTAAAAAGTGCACATAGATTCAACCTGGGGATTTTAATACTATAGTTCCCCAGTTAAAATGTTCTCTCCTCTCCAGGTCACAGGGCTGATATGGAGTCAGGATCTGAGGGTCCAGGAGGTCAGAAGGCTTCTACAAAGCTCCAGGCCAGTGCGGGTCAGTGTTGTCCAGTTACCAGAGGTTTCAGATCACGAGTACATAGAGGAGAAAGAAAACAAGTGAGTGTAATATATGCAGGCCCTGATCGCCTCTTCTTCTTGCTTCCATATCTATTCCTTATTAAATCATTTGAATGTCTATTGTACGGAAAGCTTATATCTGCTGTTATTGTTCAGATGTTTTTAAACTTTAAGTCCTGTTGTTTGGTTTGCTGCACATTCGCGTCTCTTTTAAACGTCATCTTTGTATCTCTGCCAGACTCTTGCAGTTGTGTCAAAGGACTATGGCTCTTCCTGTCGGTAGAGGCCTCTTTACTCTTTTTTCCTATCACCCAGTGCCCACTGAACCTTTACCTGTTCCAAAGCTCAACCTCACAGGTAATGTAATAATGTTTGAATCCCTCCACTGCTTATGAATAATGAGACTCTAAATTAGAAAATTTTAATATCTGAGTTCTAGGAAGAGAGTCGGAGAGAAACGTTTTCATTTTTCGACTATATCAGGGACATAATTACTCAAAAGGAGTGAATTTTGTTGAATATGTAGCAGCGTGTGTGCATTTTGTGTTGGCCTTGAAAGATATTTGTCGACCCCAAGTGAATATTGTTTTTCTGTGTATTTATGTTTTATTTATTTATTTTTCTGACAGGCCGTGCTCCTCCTAGAAACACTATGGTAGACCTGAACAGTGGGAACATCGATGTTCCTCCCAACATGACGAGCTGGCCCAGCTTCCATAATGGAGTAGCTGCTGGACTCAAAATAGCACCTGCTTCACAGGTCAGTGTCAGACGAGGCATTGTTTTGATTTTTGCATATACCTACATTGGACTACTCGCCAGCTGCTGGATTTCTGTCAGTTTTCTGTGTTTTCAAAACCTTTTATAGCTCTCATCTTTTCAGAATCAAACCCATAAAAAATTCACAGTGTAAACAAAGCGTCTCTGTAAACAATAACCTTTGCATATTGTTGTACAATTAAAGACTTTCCTATCATCTGTCAAGGTGGATTCAGCATGGATAGCCTACAACAAGCCAAAGAACCCAGAGCTGGCTAATGAGTATGCAGGCTTCCTTATGGCTCTGGGCCTCAATGGACACCTCACAAAGCTGGCCACTCTCAACATACATGACTACCTCACTAAGGTACACAAACGCGCGGATAAAGATTGACGTGTAAAGAAAGTATCTCAGCTTTTCCAACAGTGCATATAAAACAAACAGACATTATCTTAAAACACTTCTGATGTACACAGGCAGAACGCTCTCCAAATTACAGTTTCTTTCAGTGGTTAAGACGCACAAAAAACACACACACTGACTCACAAAGGGCTGTCTGAAAGAAAAGTGTAATTACAGTTTATACGACAAAATAGCAGTACACTTTCATTACCTGGTGCATAAACACACCTTCAGAGACGTCGTTCCCAAATGACTGCAAATGAGAAACATCAGACTCGCATCAGAGTCAGGCAGACAGTCAATCTGAAACTCTGCCCTCTGAGAACTTTGAAACGAGATTAGTCCTTCCCACTTTCAGGTGAGAAAAACAACAGGATGCGGGAAGCCAAACCTTTTTTTTTAATCTCTTTAGAAGGTAGTGTAAGGATGTGGTTGAAGATAAGAATCAACTGTTGAATCAAATTCACGTTTGCCAGCTTCACAACTGATTCCCACTCTGGTTAAGCCACAGGTTTTAAAGATCAGAGAAATGCTCTTATTAGTCATTTCTCTATAAATGAGGGAGAGGATCATATCAAAAGTAGAGTACTTGATATGTGAAGAAGTTGCTGTACTGAAATGATAGAAAATAAAAGAGAAATTATCCAACACAGGTATGTTTGGAAAAACTGGCTCCTTGAAAAAAAATGTATTTCATACAGGCTTTCTTTCTGACATTGAGCTTGTACTAGTGATTATTACTGTCGTTATTGATTGATTGATTGATTTGACATTGGCATTCCTGATTAAGTGACAAAACTTAAAGTTTATAAAAACTGTCCAAAACATGGTTTCTAATATTTATTTATATCATCATTATGTTTACTACAGTGCCAGTTACAATACTGTTACAATTAATCATATGGAATAATGTCAGTGTGGTTTGAATAATGACTCATTTCCTTGTTTCATTTAAGTAGACAGTACTTTATGACAGTATTTTATGTTAAAGACAGTTCAAAGTAAACACTGATTTGTGGTCCGGTTCAGACTGCAGGAAACACTGCAGAGCTGCACATCACTAGACAGTTGTCTTGAACTAACAATCCTCTGAACGTAATGAAAACTGTAGGTTTCTATTCTCGCTGTCAAAGAGTAATTACGCAAACATACGTAAGACCATTTCACTGGAAATGTATAGGTCGTGGTTTCAGAGAGAATGTTTAGTTGTGTGTGTCTGTTAAATTCTGCAGCACACTAAGCACTTGAGAAAAATTCAAGGACAAAGAAACCAATGCACTCTTTTACTCTCTTTGTAAATCCTGAATTGTCTGAATATCAGTGTTAATTTACAGAAAAGCTGTTGTCTTTATTTTAATGATATATTAGATAATGTATGGTACACATGGTTGTGTGGTCGTACATTAGTATCTATTTATGTGTACATTGCACGCCAGTAAGGCGATTTGCTTTACATCTGTGTCGGTGTTGGTGATACAAATGTGTAGACGAAGTGTGTGTTTGCCTTTGTGATGAATGAATACACACACAAACACACACACACTGTGGCACTCTGGGGTCGAATATAAACTGTCAGTCATGTTGAGCTGCTGTGGAAGCTGATTGGAATTTGAAACACTGCAGGAAGAGCTGATTACATATTGAGGTTGTTTGCTCAATTGCAGCAGGTATTTGATATGCAAAGACACTTTTTATTCTGCAAGAAATCAATTTCATTGGATAAAAGATGAGTAACCACCCAGAGCTTAAATTTTACAATATAATTGTCATTGTTTCTTTTTCTGGCTTTAATTGAAGTCTGACTGAAATGTACCATTGTTTTATCCCTGTTCTCCCCCGTCAGGGCCATGAGATGACGAGCATCGGGCTCCTTCTGGGTGTGTCCTCGGCCAAACTGGGCACCATGGACATGTCTATTACCCGCCTGCTGAGTATACACATCCCTGCTCTCCTGCCCCCCACCTCCACTGAGCTGGACGTACCACACAATGTTCAGGTGAGGGTGTGCTGCAAACAGAAGTATCAGCGTTAATCATCTTATCAGGAGAAATAACTGTGAAATTACAATATTGTAAGTTAATATGTATGGGTATGTGAGTTATTACACGGCTGTTAGTTTGTCTTTATAACCCTTTTCTCCAATTTGTAAAAAACATGGATCTATAGTATTGCACAGCTGTTCCACAAAGAAATAGATCAACAGTAATCAGTTTTATTTCTTTACTGTCTGATATGCAGGTTGCTGCTGTAATTGGCATCGGGCTGGTGTACCAGGGAACAGGACACAGACACAACGCTGAAGTCTTGTTGTCTGAGATAGGTGTGTGTGTGTGTGTGTGTTGTGAAAGGAGAACAAAAACACAAACAAACAACTTTACAGTTAGAACAAGACCATTTGTTGATAAATGGCATTGAAAAAAATAATAATTTGACTGTAAGACACACTTCAACTCAGAAATAGTTCTTGATGTAACTCATAGGTGACCCCTGTTGTGGTACTGAATAATTTTCTGGATGTACACTTTGTGCTTGATTTGTTTTTGAGTATTCTTAAGTTTGATTTTGGTCAAATAATTTTTGTCTCTGTATCTGTTTTCAGGTCGACCACCTGGTCCAGAGATGGAGTACTGCACAGACAGAGAGTCCTATTCTCTGGCTGCAGGACTCGCCCTGGGCATGGTCTGTCTCGGGGTAAGCCACACACCGACACATTTTACTGGTTTGTTAAGAATACTCTAGAAATGTAGTGCTGGGAGTTTTTAAAAATGGAGGTTTAATCTGTCAGAACAACTGAGGTATCTTCTGTCTGTAGGTTGATTATTACTTTCCTTTTTTTTTTTTAGCTTTATGAGAATGAGAAACTGTAGTCAGTCTCCATCTACAGCTTAATGCGTAGACAAGACAGTATCATAGTTTTTGTGTTCATGCCCACTGAGAAAGAGGAAGAAGACAAGTTCTCACGGGAGTTTACAATGACCTCTCAGTGTTTTTGTATGTGGCTTTCCTTGTTCTTCTCCTGCCGCTGTCGTGTAATTTTCAAAATTACCCAGCATAAGGGACCCATAAAGTTCATCTTATTTCATTTTCTCCCATTTCACTCTTAACATTGTCTATGTCTCTCTGTTCCATGTTAACTAACTCATCTGTCCTTTAAACACTTACACCGTCTTCTCTGTTTTCCCTCCACCTCTCTGTTTTCTGACCACCATGTGCCGTTTTTCCGCTCTCTCTCTCTCTCCATCATTTTCTCTCTCTCTGATTTTTATTGTTTTTCCTCATTCCTCTGCCACCCTCCCTTTCCCATCTCTCATTTCTTTCACTCCCCTCTCTCTTTCTCTCCTTGCAGCATGGCAGTAACCTGATTGGGATGACAGACCTGAATGTCCCTGAGCAGTTGTATCAGTATATGGTGGGGGGCCATCGCAGGGCTCAGGCAGGGGCCAACAGGGAGAGACACAAGTCCCCAAGCTACCAAATCAAGGTAGATTGAGAGCGCTTTCTTTATTTCTATTAAATGCAGTCAAATGATCATAAATACTGTCATATTTTTGTTTCAGAGATACTTAACCCGAATGCATAACACACAATTCTTTTTTTAGTATTACAATCTAAAAACCCTGCCTGTTTAAAATGGTTCACTTGAAGCCAGCTGACTAGCATGTTACTGCTTTCAGCTCGTTTCTCTAATAAAAATCTCTCTTAAAACATCAACAATGGTATTTTCAGGAGGGTGACACCATAAATGTAGATGTGACGTGTCCAGGGGCCACACTGGCCCTCGCCATGATTTACCTCAAGACCAACAACAGGTGAGTTTAAAACCAAGAGGTATGAATTTATTGTTTTTGACTAAATTAAAGAACCATCAAAATGATAGATGTTTAGTATGATTAATTATATGATAGAGTATTAGATACCTGCTGATTATTTTGATGTATTTCTGATGTATTTTTATGATTTTTAGCTTTAATTTCATCTCTTTTCATACAGTTTATCTTTAAATTCACACTTAAAATGTTAGATTAGATTAGATTAATTCAACAATTTAATTAACAATTTAATTTACCCTTTTGGGAAGGTTCCCTTAAGGAAATTAATTTGCATGAACTTATAGATGCTTGTTTCACTTCTGGTTTATCTGGCACATGGTTTGAATAATCAGTTATATGTTAAAAAATATAATTAAAGCGCATAATTTAAGCATCAGCTTGTTGCTTATCTGCCTATACCAGTAATTAACTTTTAAGCTTTTATCTGCTGATATCGGCATTGTGCAGCTTTAAAAGAATTGATTGGCATGACATGTGATACTATAGTGCCTGTGCTGTAGATCCATGAAGACTTCCCTGTTATGGTAGATGCATAAAAGATGAATATGTCGACCCAGAGCAGGTAAAAAGCTGTAGCCAGAGTGTTGCCGTCGACTTTCTCCCATTTTGTGTCCAGGTGAACATTGAGCAGGACACCCTAACCTTCCTAAAGAAATGTCTAAACCCTTCAGTGAGCCGAGTTCTCACTTCACCTTACTGAGGGAGAAGAGTCCTCCATTGTCAAGAGGTCCCTGTCCTCTCCGGGGCTTATCTGATGCTGTCTGTCTGTCTGTCTATCAGCTGAAAGGGTGTAAAGGAGGGTATTAACACCCTCTTATCTCTTCCTGGTTCTGCCCACCAGGTCGATTGCTGATTGGCTCAAACCTCCAGACACTTGGTTCCTGTTGGATTTCATCAAGCCTGAGTTTCTGCTGTTGAGGGTTTGTGACGGGCTTGTGCTGTTGTTGTTGTTTGTGTGTGTGAAGTTTTGTGCATTTGTGTGTCTGTGTATGTATATATGCATGTGGTGTGTGTAATCATTGTTACTGCCTCACTGTCTTCTGCTTTTCTTCATGCTGCTTCTTCACCCTCTCAGACTCTTGCTCGGTGTATTATAATGTGGGATGAAATCCTTCCAAATACTGAGTGGGTCAAGAGTAACATACCCCAGGTAAGGCAATACACACATACAGTGTTTATGCTCATTCACACAGACAGTATTATTGTGCTGTTGTATTTGGGGCTGTGATGTTTCAAACCAGGAAAAGGTCAAAGTGACTTTTAAAGAATTTGGCAGAGTCGGTTGATTTCTGCGTGTGGTGGGGGATTGGGAGGAGTGCAAGCTTGCTTTAATGAGCAAAGAAAAAGTAAACTTCAAGTTGCCCTGCTCAGGCTCTACCCTGTAGACAAAATCCATTTAGTTTTTGTAATACACATCAGCAGTCTCAAAGTTTTTCTTTAGTATGACAGGCCAACCTGGATAAACCTGGAAAAAAGTGTCATTTGTTTGAAACGACCTAAAGTGTGCTTTTCCAGGGTGTGATACGCATTTCATAATATTTCAAGTAAATTGAAAAACTACAGTCTTTTCCCCTGTGATTCAGTTGCTAAAATTAATCCTAACTCGAATGTTGGGAATCTTTAAGCAGCCAGTCACTGATTGTTTTCCCAATGATTATTTAATTTCTGAATCTTTGTTTTTCAGATCATGAGGGGGGCTTTTGACCCCTCAGAAGACTTCAACATGGAGACAATGTCGTAAGTATTTTAGCTAAACATGAATATTTTGAATAACTTTGAATATTTTATTGTCATTGGGATTCAGCATTATCAGTGACTACCACTGACAGTTGTCACTTACTTAGATTGAGAGAGCGATGTGAGAGAGTGTCTCAGCATCAACACTGATCATCTCATGTGATTTGCTTCTATCAGCCAAGCCCAGGACTACATCACCGCAGGAGCCTGTATGGCACTGGGCTTACGCTTTGCTGGCTCTGCGAACTCTGATGCCTTTGACTGCCTTTATGAGTGTGCCAGGACCTTTATGCAGATCTTGTCCTTCAGTGGAACAACCTCTGTTGTAAGTGTTTGTATTTTTATTTAAAGTTCAAATTTGGACTGTGGACTTTTAATAAATGGCCTCCCAAGATTTTAATTGTCATGAAAACACATTTTTACTGTCAGACGTTTGTTGATATTGCCGAGTATCCCCCTTGCTTTCTCCATCCTTTAGCCTAACTGTGCTCTGATTCCTGTAGCAGACGGGTTATTACAACCTGCAGACTGGTCTGTCGATGATTCTGCTGGCTATGTCCATGGTGATGTCCGGTACAGGGAACCTGAAGGTCCTTCAGCTCTGTCGATTCTTCCACAAACGAACCGGGGGCGAGATGAACTATGGCTTCCACATGGCTCATCACATGGCACTGGGTCTGCTTTTTCTGGGAGGGGGAAGGTGAGATACTAACGTGCACAAATACAGCACGACTTCCAACAACTATTTCAGTGATTTAGTTTTAAATCAAAACATTAAAGCGGTTTTGATTGAGATAGTCTGGTTAATAGGTTCATTTTCTTTGGGTGCTGATTTAGCTTATTGAGCGATTCTCTTTCTCGTTTCCGGTAATGCTTTCTTTTACGGTACACTTACTATCAGGTAATTAACAGGCAATCTTCGCACGCCCATAGGCTGTGTCAATCATAGAAAATAAGAACCCTAAATAGCTTTTGAAAATGGAGCTGCACAGAAAAAAGAAAAAAGGAAAAACTAGACATTATTGACTTAGTAGTTATCATGTAATTACAGATAATTTCATGTTGTTACTAGGTAATTACCTGGTAATTACATGGTAATAAGTATACCGTAAAAGAAAGCGTTACCCAGTGTCCTACACCTTGTTCTGTTCTGTCCAGTCATTCATAATTGCTGATAAGGATTTGTATTTGTATCTTGTTTACAGAAGGGGAAACACATAAAAAGTCAGAAAAAAGTTGCTGAAAACTGCCTCAATACATTTAGAAAATGAACATTATAATGAAATTAATATTTGCAGATGTTTGAATTCATGTTATATGACAAAATATCTATAATTATCACTGTCCTGTGAGCCTGTAATCTTGGAGACCTGTATACCAGTGAAATACTTCCAAGCTCATAGACTGGTACTGACTCAAACAGATGTCAAAAAGTTATTAAAATCACAGAATCATTCTGTTTTTAAAGTATCCCTCATATCATATCACTAAACGTGAAAACTTGCTGTTTACAGTTCTAGACAGCCAGAACCACACTTTCGATGCTTCTGGGAGTGACCATGTTTTTGACCTATGTTCTCATATATTTCAGTAAAACGCACAAAAACACTTTTTCTGTTACGGTCCTTTTTGCATAACGGCTCAAATTTAAACATACTTGCACACAAACCAGGTTGCCTCAACCACTGACCTCAGGTTGTGTATTTTATAGAGAAACAACTGGACCCACTCTCTCATTATATGTTGCAAATGTTTCTCCACCTACAGCTGTAATCAGATGAACCTTTTTGTTTTACTCGGGTCACATTTTATTTTTGAGCTGCCAGCTGAAAGCCCACACAGCTGCAGGGAATTGGTTTGAATGTCATGAACTGTTGGGTGTATTATCAGGAGAGTGTCACAGCGGGTCTGTAGAGGTCAGAGATAATTCTAGAGGGCAAACTCAGCGAAGTTGGTCCATGTCTCACCTCTATTTTCTTTTCTTTTACATATCTACTTTTCAAGCATTTTATCTGTATTGCAACTCCCCTGCCTTTCTTTTTGTTACTCTTTTCCTCCCCTCAGTTTTTGCTCACTGGTACTACGCTCTGTTGACTGTTTGCGTTTTTCTCACCCTTTCTGTCTCCTTCCCACTTTCTCTCTGTCTGCTCAGTTATTTCCTCTTCACATGTATTCATTCTTGTAACCAGGAAACTGAAGTGAAAGTTATGTTTTCCACCAGAAGCCACACGTGTCATGGCTTTTATGCAACGTCGGTCTAAATCAGCAGTAATACAGGCTGTTAGCCTCCACAGGTTTATCACGTTTTTGCATGGGGTTTACTTTGGCTGCTCTGGTTTTGGAAACTAGACACAAGCAAGTGGGTTGTTATGAATACTCCCACACTATTGCTCTTTCATAAATGCTAACCCCAGAATTGGAGTCTATCCCTAAATCCTGCCCACTGCTTTCTCAACAGGGACTAATGAGGCTCAAAATCATGCGTTATTCAGGCTGTTAGAAACAATAGTCAAAGAGTGTTACTTGAATCAACTGGCAGCTCATACTATAGGAAAGTAACTCAACAGAAAGGACTCGAGGTCGACCGAAACCTGGAAGCACAGTTCCTGTGTGCTGCTTCTTAACACTAAACATGGTATTGGTGAAAATATGACTGTTGTTGCCTCACAGTGTGAAGTTGCGAATACTGAAGCAGTAACAGAGGAGTTAAGTGAACTGATTCAACCGATTTGGTGAAAAAAAATCTGTATCTGCCGGTGACTCACAGTCAAAAACTTTTGGCAAAGAGCAGTGTGCCCAATAATGATTTCTCATCTTTGTGTTGCTAAATTTAAAGGGTAAAGTGGTCAAACGTACTTTTGTGCAACAGAAAGAAGTACTTGTTTTAAAAATAATTGTAGGGTATGACTCGATGTATTATAGTCAAGTTAATGGAAGAAACCACTGGAAAAAAAGAATCAAAACCTAAATGTACAGATTAACCATGCTTTTCCTTCCTCTCTGCCACAGTTGAGCAGATTCTTTTGCTTTTACAGCATTAGACTTTCTCAGCTATTCTCAGTAAACACATTTAGCCACAAATCCAAGTGTTCAAAGACCAAAAAAAAAAAACAGTGGCTCTTACCGCTTTGAACACTTAAGAATCCAAGTTTGTCACTACCCTGTGCTGGTGAATTTGGTCAGGTTTCTGCTGAAATATGCAGTTTTTTTTTCATATAACACATTAAGTCTCTATTTGATTGCTTGAGTTGTAAATTTTAGAAAAATAAGTTATTGCCAGTGTAGCTCTTAATACAGACTAAATATGCCCAAAGCAGCCTTTTAATTTTAATTCACTTTTTTTTTTTTTTACTTCAGCTGACCTTGAACACTCTCAACCTTTCAAGTAAAAACAGCCTTTGTACTCTGACCCAGCTTTATAATAATCACGCCATTAGTGAAAGTATGTACTTCACTGCCAACTATTATGTTTAAGAGGCTCTGCCGTGGTCTGGGATGACGTAGGCTAGACTACAAAACACACCTGCTCTTGATAACAAAGGAATAATTGAGAAAATGACGTTTTTATTTAGAGGATAGTGAATATTTAAAAACTTAATGTGATCACGAACATTTCTCTCTTTATATTTCTACTTTTTACACTCATAAATGTGTGTTTAAGTGAGCACTGGTTGCCCCTTTTTCACTACAAGGGTTAAATCAAGTGGGCAAATTTTGTGCGTACTTCTCTTCTGCAGGTGGAAGTGGTTAGAGGTCAAAGGGAATCTTTCTGCATCTGAAGTGGATGTACAATTAGCGTTGATGAAAATTATAGTTAACTGACGCAATAAACTCTTCTGCAGCTCTACAGAGCTCTGTATAAGGAGATATGACACATTAGAAATCATATACTCTCTATGCTGCATTAATTTAGTTTAGTTAAAACACGTCTTAATATTATTGGTCAGCAAAGAGACTGTGACGTTTTCACAGCGTTGGCACCCTCTTTGTTTGTCCTTTTGATTGCCATGTGTAATGCTTGTAGAAGTACTTCATAGCCAAGTTGAAATATTCATGTAAGTAGAGGTGCAGACTGGATGCAAGCTGAAAAGCCAGTGCCTATGGACCAGCATTTATTTAGCAACAGATTTAACTCTCGAATAAATAGCAAACAGACTGAAGTTATAGAAATAATTCCTTGTCAATAATTGTGTTTTATTTTGTCTGACTGTAGGTACACCCTGAGCACGTCCAATTCAGCCATCGCTGCGTTGCTGTGTGCTCTGTACCCGCACTTTCCAGCTCATAGCACTGACAACCGGTAACACACACACACACACACACACAGACACACACACACACACACACACACACACACACACACACACACACACACACACATACACATACACACACACACTCAGACCACTAAAACTTTCATTTCCATTTTCAACAGTCAACGTTGAATGACTGAATCTTTGGTTTGTAGTTTAAGATTTAGTGTTAGCTTGTATCATTTTTACATAATGTAACTCCTAAAAAACAAATACAGTTTCTTGAAGATTAAAAGCTTAATCTTAATGTGACAAAACTAGAGGAAATAAAGCTTCAGGTGGATTATGAGAGTAGATCAAGGATGAAATACTCCACCTATGTAAGAATGAAGGTTTTGGATAATGCACAAAACCACAAAAAGGCATTTTTATCATTTAAATAAGGAAAAAGAACAGTATCGATAAAATGATTGAAAGATCAGGGTTTTTTAATATTATCTCTTTATCTCTGTAGAGCTCACACCAGACAGCATTAAAACAACATGACTGCTCTAGCTCCAAATAACTGAAGGGTTAGTTAATGGCATCTGCTTGACTCATTGTTTTCCTCCTCTGAGTGCTGTTTGTGTTTTCTGTGCTGCAGTTATCACCTGCAGGCTCTGCGGCACCTGGCTGTTCTGGCTGCAGAACCCCGACTGCTGGTCCCCGTAGACGTGGACTCCCTAAAGCCCTGTTACGCCCTCTTAGAGGTCACATACAAGGTCAGTACATTAAGGTGTTCAGGGCTGGCAAAGGCATGTGGAGCTCACACTGTCAATTTGCTGCACTTCTTCCATACTCTAACTCTATTTTTTTTAATATTTTTTGATCAGAAGTTGTCCCCTCAAAAGTTAAATTAAGTGGAGCTAAAAAAGATTCTGACACAGCAAGAACTTTAGTGTCTGGTAATTGATGGTTGTTAAATTTTGTCCCACAGCATGCACTTCCTGCTTCCTCCTCTCTCTCTTATGCCGGCTTTCACATGTAGTTCTGAAACTGAACTTCCTCTTGACGAATAGTTTTACATGCAAATGCACACATGTGCTCACACAGACTATTTATGTACATGTGCTGGTCTGAACCACATGAAAACACACCTGCCCATCACACTGGAATATTCAGCATTTTCAAAGATCGTTGTCCACAGATGGATGTCTTTATTTGTGAACATAATGACACTGATGCACCTTCCTACCAAAGGATCAGAGCAGGCTGGGTTCCCTCTGCTTTACACTTTCTATTTAGATTTAACTCACATAACCTCCCTGAAGGAAAACCAAACTATTCCCTTAGTGAAATGAAGACCATCAAAAATACTTGGCGTACAAAAGTCAGTGTGTGGTTTTGACGCTCTTGCAGTTTAGTCTACACCCAGACTTCCAGTTTTGTGGTATTTCACAAAAGTTTAGAGTGTCCATTCATGTTTAACCACATTTTAGTCCCATGGATCATTTGCACTTTTCTTTAGTAGGAAGCAGACATACCTCTGTGGCTAGTGTTGATGCCCTACTTCCTTTTTTTGGAGAGATTTTCTAAACTGTTAAAAATAAAAACAGCCACCTTCAAATCCATCCATGACCAGACAATAAGATGGCCAGATACTTGAGAAACTGTGGATATTTTGTCCCTCATTTCATCAGCTATTACTCCCCCCTGTGTCTATCTTTGGTGGCTCTACATTTTCCTGACATGTACATTCAAATACCATTGTTGCAACAGTTATGTCCTCACATATACTGGAAATAGCCTCTGAATTACAGGAACTGTTATTTCTAAATCCTCTGCTGGGTTTGGTTGCTGCTCTGTATAGATGTGGCAAGTTTAGAAGCGGTGTGTTTTAGGTTTTTGCCTCACTGTGAGGCCCGGCTGCCTTTTTTTTACTCTGTTGTTTGAAGCAGTTTTTTTAAGTCGAAAGAGAAGGTCTCTGTTTCTGAACTGTTTCACAAAGTTTTCTGTGAGCTATTATGGGATTTGGCAGCATGTGTGTGTTCTGTATTACAATAGGAGTAAGTAGAGGTGTTTGGTAGACATCCAATGGGAGGGCAGGTGATACACTTTTATTGAGACAAGATGGCTTGCGGCAGTAACTTGAAATCCTCTTGTAAAATGTAGAAAGGCTCAGAGTTTCAAGTGGAAAAGTTAAACAAAATCTGATGCACATTTTCTTTTCAGTGAGGGGGTGCAATGTTGGCATCTATTACCCAAAAAAGAGACAAATTTCAACAAAGGCCTTTTAATAGTCCACAAAAAGTCCAAGGTCTGTTAGCAAACCCTCCTCTTAGCTTCTAAAATTTCAATATTCATTTGTCTATTTATTTAGGGTTACTGGAGGTCAAAGATGGATTATTTTTACAGTGTGGAAAACCTCGAGGAGCATTCCTCTTTTTATTTAGTTCACAGCAGAGAGCTCTGTTTGACTCTTAGTACAACATCCATCATTACACTCAAAGCTCAAATGGTATCATTGTCTATTCAGTTTGAATGAATGAAATCTTGCTTGCACAAGGAACTGACAAGTTTCAGACTTCTCTTGTTTTCATGTGCTAATGTGTCGTCACTATGTACATTCACAGTTTATTCACTGGTGCATTGTGAATAACAACAGTAATATTCAAACTGCAGTATATATATGCAGTATTTACAAAATGTATCAGAGAATCACAACTGGCTGCTGATGTAAGAGCTACTTCTTTAGCATGTTGATTTGTAAATGGTATTTCTTTTTGTTTCAGGAAACCAAATGGTACGAGGAGACAACAGTGGAACTGATGGCTCCTACCATGCTACCCGAGCTGCATCTTCTTAAACGGGTAAAACTTCTGCACAATGCTTCTGCCCTCAGTCGTCCTTCCTGTTTCTTTAGTAATCTTTCTTGAGGCAATTGGATTGTAGAATATTGGTAAAAAAAATATATATATCAGTAACTGTCAAATAAATCATAACCAGATATTTTATTGCTATTTTTTTCAAATTGTTATATTCCAATTTGTGTTTGTTTATTTATCACAGGTGAAGGTGAAGGGACCACGATACTGGGAACTTTCTGTGGACCTCAGCAGAGAAACACAGCACCTGAAGTAAATAAAGAGTGTTATCACAGTGAACACGTTTCAATAACGATCAATAAGATGAAACCACTAACTCTAATCACCCGTATTGATTTAGTCGGCTGATTCAGAGGTCAAATTCTGATTGAATGTTTGTAGGTCCATCCTGTCCAGAGATGGGGTGTTGTATGTGAAACTCAGAGCCGGTCAGCTGCCCTATAAAGATGACCCTCAGGGCTGGAAAAGTCTGCTGGCCTCCACCGTCAACCATCGTAACTCTGGAGTCAGAGCTTTTAAGGTGAACACACGGTGATGTCAGACACACTCATAAACTCCAACATCTGTGATTAGGAGAGTGTAGTGGGGGTGGATAGCTGAGGTAATAAATGGCTCCAATTTTCACTCTTCTTTGTTTGCTTAAACATGTAAACCATTATTTCTGTCAAGAACCAAAGCACAAAATTACCACTATTATGTGTAGTGAAAAATAATACTGTATGTGGGAGAAGTTCAGACAAGCAACAGACATTGATGACGTGGGTTTATGATCTATCCTGATTTGGGCCTGCAGTATTCACACTCTGGTCTTAAATGGTTCAGTGTGGGTGTAGACATTTGGGCCCTTGTTTTAGCTACAATAGATAACTAACTGTATGACTTGAAGGATACTACAGCCTTCCTACCTTTTCATTTTCTGCATCCGTCTTTGCTGCTAAAAACTTTACAATGTTGACAAATAAAGGTCTAAAACTGAAATTTATAGGAATCATATTTGCCTTCAGTTGAATTTCTTAAGGTTTACTGTGTTTAAAATAGTGCAAATCCTATTAAGGAAACACGTCGACACCAATAATGCACTAAAAATAGAAGCTATTAGGGTTGAATTGAATTGACCTCCTCCCCAATGGTTGCTCGTGACCAGTCTTGGCAGGTTGTCACTACAGGTTTAGCAGGCAGCTGTTTGGTTGACGCACTATTACTGGTTCCCTGATGGCCTCACTGTATGCTGTCAATACACCTGCAGGTCCAGAGAGAGAGAGAGAAAACACAAAACAATTGTTCTGTTTGTCCTCACTGCCCTCCTTCCTCAGCTGTCTTTGTCTCCTTGCCTTTTGTCTATATTTTCCTTATCTGTATTGTATCTATTTGTAAAACAAACAAACAAACAAACAAAAAACTCTTTTCTTTCTTTTTTTTCAGCCTGAAGCGATCTCTACGTTCACGTCAGAGCCCGCTTTGGTCTCCTTTGCAGAGTTCTTCTGTAAAGCGTTGGATGGAATGAAACATGTGAGTTAAACGCACAGACAGAGACTTAGTTCTGCCTCTTAATTCAATGTTCCTACAGCCACTTCATTACTCTGGAAACACAGGTTGTTGTTGGTTGAGCTGTCCAAAAATAGTGATTCTGTTCTCATTCCTACTACCTGAAACTTGATCCAGGAAATAGTCAAGAAAAGTTTTAACTTGAGCTGATGCAAAAATAGGAGACAGTGAATCGATAGGCTGATGGAATCTTGAGCAGAATAGTAAAATAAAGTCACGGAGCATTGATTTATTTATTTAAGTAAAAAGTTTTTAAAAACTGTTACATAATACAATTTTTCTTATTTTAACGGCTTTTTAAACTGTTAGCTATTATCAGCCTTGTGGGAAGGTTAATTAAGCTTAAAGGAGGGTCATTATTACAGATTTTCAGTCATTTATAATCCCTGCATAAAGACTCAATGTGCTTTTATTTGGAATTTGTACTTTATAAAAAAAAAAAAACTTTTTGTCTAAGCATGTCAAAGAACAAACGTTGCATCTTGTTCTCTGGTTTTGGTATAAGAAATTTCTGAAAACTCTGTTCAATGTCTGATCAGAGCCACTTTTGATGATGCACCATTGCCCGGTCAAACTCTATTTTAGCTTGTGTTGCAGCTGCCGGCTGCTCTGCTCTCTTTTCGTATTGTACCAGTTTTTTAAATTGTTCTCTCCATCAGTCGAGCACAAAATTTGGCCCTGGCTGAAAAATATCAAAGTTCTCCTTCAAGGAGTTTGACTGATTTTGTTTCTCTGTAACTTGGACTTTCTGTTGAACTTGTTTGAAATGTTTTCTTTCCAGACAACTTCTTCAGCAATGAAAAATGCACAGACATGTTTGATGAATATGGTCAAAAAGAAAATCAGCATATTTCTATGCAGCCTGTATCTCTACTGAGATGATATATCCTGTGTTCATTCACCTGCATGAAAGCCAATTTATGAGCATTTTTATATCAAGTCACAGACAAACCAGAGAAGAGTGGCTATGAAACTCAGACTAAGGGCTCTTTTACCTCCTCAGTCCTGGCCATGATCATCAAATTATTACAAAAATTATTCCTCAGAATTAAAAAAAGAAGAAAAAAATGTCTATTTCTATTTCTATTTCTATCTATTTCTAACCACTTGTAAACAACAACATGCATCCAAGAGCACTGAGAGTTAAAATAATCAAACTCAAACATGTAAGACCTGAGATCAAATAGCACAAAGTACTGTCTTATCTTTCAGTAGGGATACATAACCATAAATGATATAACACTAACCACTCTGCTTTATCTTCACACATTTATATAAAAAATTATACAACATAAACTTCCTCCAGGAATCATGTGTCTGGATGAGCAAACAAGTTTCCATCAAAAGTTCAACCCTGTACTGTTTGTTTATGATCACGGCCAACTGAATGGATTTTTATACAGATCAGGTTAGCTGAGCCCACAGCTACTGTATGAGATATTATAGATACCACAGATTGTTGTGTGCTGCAGTTAAACGCTTTAAATCGATATTTTACAGCATGCAGGGTAATTCAAAGAAGTGTCATGATGAGTGCATAATCTGCTGATCAATCACCGGACTCCTATCTTTGAGGTGAAGAGGTTTGCTTTATCCGTTCTTGTTATTCAGAGGTCACTGGTGTCAGCTTGAACAGCGAAATGGAAGAAAATGACTCATTCTGTAGTGTGACGTTCTGTAATTGAATTTAATGACATGCCTATTTAAAGTCCTTCAATACAATCAACTTTTCACCCTCAAAGTCATTTAAAAGTCATTATTTTGTTAAAAAATCGGGCACAAACTTGAATCCACGGTCTACTACATGACGAGTGTTGACATGAAATAAGAGCTCTTACGTCTAACGGGGGAAAAATAAATCATATCTTCATACTCTAAAACCTAAAGAACCAGGGACATTTTTTGCCCAATCAAATGTTTCTAGTTAAAGTGTGGATTATGTTTGAAGAAAAGTACAACATGTGATTTCATTCTCCAGTTTGATTCTGTGTTGAACACTAACTCCCTGCTTCTGTCTTTCTTTTTGTGTGCAGAGAGAAGATACACTTGCCTTGTTCTCAGCCATGCTCTATGAGTGCGTGACACAGGAATGTCCAGAGATGCTGCCTACTTACATCGCTATTGAGCAGGTGATAAGTCCCCATGATGATATTTTGTCAGGGCATAGTTGTGCAGTTTCATAACCAAGAAGAAAAGATGCACAGTTCTCCGAATTTTTAGATTTTCTCTTGACTGTATATTTTGGAAACTAGTTCATCCTGTGCAGTTTCTAAGTTACAGGATATTGTTCTTACCCTGAAGCATTTGTTACAATAGTTTGAATGTAGTGAAGTTCAAAGTAGTTTACTGTTGCTGAAGTGTTTAAATATTATATAAATTAATTATTTTCAGTAGTCTGTGTGGGAATCAAGTAAATCTGAATGCTGTTCACGAAGTTTTGAAGAATTCATCTGATAACATCAGAAGTTACTGGCAGGGATGAAAACTCAGTCAGCTTCTGTTTAAACTCATCTCTGGTGTCTCTCAGACGGTGGGCGCCCTGCGACGGGACGACCTGCAGCAGACCTTCCCTCTGTGGCAGATGCGTCTGGTGGTAGAGTTGTGGGACAGGAGGGTGCTTTTGGGTCCTGGAAACCATCACGACACCCTGCTCACCTCTGAGTTTCTGCCTGTTATGAAAAACATGGTTGATGAAGCTCTAGACAGCTGGCTGAGAGGTGAGAGAGATGGACGGAGGGGGTGAGCATGTATAGAGGGAGATCAGTTTGGACTAACAGATCAAAATCTTATAAAGTAGTCAAGTAAAAAAAAAAAGAGAGATATCTAAGACTGTTTTGTATCAGGTGTAAAGATTGCGTAATGAACGTATTATTTAGTACAATTACAGAAACAGCTCATCTGATTCCAACCCCTCCATCGTACAACAGGTTTTCTGTAGGCCACTTTTGGTTTTCTTTTCATTTGTTGAAAAGAGTGGATGACTTAGATGGATAAAGGAAACTGCTTTGGTAAACAAGCTGACCTGGAAAACATTTAACTCACATGATCAGCTGATCATCACTGCATCTATTAAAACGATTCCACTAATTTATCTCTGTCCTCAGACAGCATGAAACTTGATCAAGGCTGATGTTAAAGAAAAAGACTTGTTTGTTTTTTGAATTTTAGCCTAAACCCAGGGGACAAACTGGACATTTTGGTTCTGTTTATTTGCACTGACGGGTTGAGTATGTCACCGTTTGGATGTGTTTTAACTTGTTTCCTTGTACAGGGTGTGTAGCACATTAATGTCATAGTTCTGAAGCCAAACAGATGGTGTATGCGCTCAAGCAAACACTCTTTCCATCGTTGACGTGCACATGCACACAAACTCACACAGGCACAGACACATACAGTTAAAAGTACACAAAGGGAGGCGTGGGAAACAGGTGAAGTGGTTGGACAAGACTATGATCATGTTACAACTTCAGCATGTATTCACATTCATGTTTCATGAAGCCGTTCGACCTCAATCATGAGGAATGTTGATGTTCTCTGGAACTCACCCATGAATGAAATGTGTGTCTGGATAAATCTCCTGTATTCTCACGATCCTTGTTTCTAAACCTCGGCTCTCAGGGCCTTCGGTCTTTCTCATCAGACAGTGATGCTGTACATCTTGTAAACAGAGTTATCCTTGTTTGCATTATGTGTATTTTCTCTTTCAGACAACAGCTTAGTGTTGAGGTCCTACATGAGGGGTAAGACCCTTCCTAAGGACGCCCAGTCTGTCATGTTGGCCTGCTTTCTGGTGTACCGCTCCATCCCCTGCCTCAGGAACACAGAAACACACCTGGAGGGTAACACATGTTTACTCTGAACACTTTATGTTTGCACAAAACACTTGAAATACTGTCGATACACACTTCAGGAGGAAAATATTTCTTATAGTAGTCAGTTAAGTTATTCCCAGAATGTTGAATTTGCTGTATCTTGTATCTTGTTACTGTAAATATCTGTATTTCAACATGCTCTTCAAAACAAACAGCCACAGAGTAACAATGTTTGCAGGTCTTGTCCAAATGAATTAACTTGTCTGGTGCTTTATCTTCTCTCTTTGCAGGCTGCAGCTCACTTGGGGACTTATTGGCACGCAGCAGCCAGTTGGGCATCCCACTGAGAGACCTGCTGAGGCTGGTTCCCGTCCTGTTGGGCTCTGGAGCACAGACGCTACAGGCCTTTCCTCTACAGGCACATTGATCAGTGTTAGCCAGCCGACAAGTAACTTCTCAGACATCAAGTTGTAGTCCTACATCCCCCCTTGCGAGCACTGGTAGGGGAGCAGCTGAAAGGAAATGTTCTGATAAAACTGACTTTCCTTCTATCTTAGCCACCAGAAAATGGAACGAGTCATTTTGTAATATAATATTTCTATGTAGTTTTTTTATGCAATGAGGAAAGTTTGACTGCAGCAGTGCATGTGCCATGTTTGTGGTGCAACAAATCCCATAATGTGGACTGTTTTGATGGAAACCACTTTCATGAACTTGACTTTTGACACAAAGGACACAAAAGACCGGTCACTTCAGAAGGAAGGAAAGCTCTTCAGCTGTAGTTGTTAAAGAGTAGATGCTGCTTGTAAGAGTTTGTAAAGATGAAAAGACAAAACCAAGACAATAAACCACACATGCACACACATTTATAAATACAAGGATTTATTTTGTGCGTTCATATTTCCCCATGAGGCTCGGTTTGGTTTCCTTTCCAAGAAGTCATATCTTTTTGCCACTTACAAAAAGTTTTTTCATGTGAATTTCTGGGAAAATCTCCTCCCGTATGAGACCAGCTGAGGCCGTGATGATCTGTAAACCACTGAGAAACCTGCGCTTATTTCCTGAAGGTGTTTAAAATTTGATTTTTTCTTTTTGGCCACATGAAGAAAAATACTTCCACCCTCTCACACACAGTACATCTCTGTAAAATCAAGCAGCTGAGTATAAGCAAACCACTTGAAGTTCACATATCACAGCTGGGGCTGCAGCCCTCTCTGCAGGAAAACCCAACCACAGACATGACTCTGATTTAATGGCCACCACAAATACATCAATGGATGAGAGACACTGAACAAACAAATAATTAAATTAGGGGTGTCCTGATACAATTTCTTTACTTCCGATACCCTTCGATAGCCTTCAGTATTGGACAACACCGATATTGATCCGATATTGGCACAGATGACAGATGACTTGTGCATGACTAGTTTTTGCACTCAGCTGCAACGTCTTTTTAGACTCAAACATAAAATACTGCCACACGGCCGACTTCACTCCTACTCCTTTAGGGTGACTATACTCTGATTTCCCAAAAAGAGGACATGACTAAGCGGGGGCGGAGTCGCACAAAGTTCATTTTGAGAGTTTTTCAGGTCAGATCAAGTGTCTTTTATGCACTTCTAACTCAGTAAATCCACACAAAATCGAAACTTATGTACAAAACCGCAGACAATTGAAGGATCTCATAAACTTCCCCGGACAAACCTGGACAGCCCCCCAAAAACAGGACATGTTTGTGTAAAAGAGGACGTATGGTCACTCTAACTCCTTGATACTTTGTCGGTACCTTAGTGCACACTGTTGTTGTGATAACGTGGGCTCTGTATACAGGATCTGGGCGCTGCTAGATAGAAGTGCTGGAGGGATCTGGAATGAACTGTTTGTATTGTAGTGCTGATATTGGAGATTTTAGATGCAGGCCAATATAGTCTGATATTAGTTTTTTGCTGATATCGGACCGATATCTGTTATCAATATCGGATCAGGACACCCCTAAATTAAATATTCTCCAAAGCACCACCACCACAAGCTGAGAGGTTCTGCAGCTGTTTTAGCTGATGTTACACCCACCTGTCAATCAAAGCAGCCACTCCTCATCATGCATAACTTAAAGCTCCAGCGGTTGGAGTCTAAGTGACGAGCTGTATCAAAATTCACTTCCTGCACATTTGTTATGAATGTGGGAAATAGCCAGAGACCAAAACCAGTTTTTGTAACAGGCTGTAAAAACAGGCATCTCAGTATGAGACTTTGGATTGACTCCGTGTTTAAACCCGTGATAGCCTCCAGTCGTGACTTTATAGACAGAACTCAGTACATCTGACAACAGAGTCCCAAGCAAAGTCCTTTGAGGAGCCCCGGACTCCCCCTTTTGCTCACTCGCCATGCTGGTGAATGTGTTTGTGAACATCTTGTGTGAGTCTCTTTCCCAGCCTGATAACCAGGAGACTAAGAAATCAGCCAGGAACGTCATATCTCCCAATGTTTTGGAGTCAGCATGACATAAACAGATTTAGGAATATGCAGTCTGATTACCCTGACAAACAACATCTGAACTTACGGATATCCATGCTTGGTATTAACCATCAGTATAACCATCCAGTCATGACTGAGCGGATACCACAACCCCTGACTTTAAAGACCACTGCGATAGCTTTCTAAGTAACCCAGATGTCTTGAATTTGAATGTGGGAGTTTGAAAATTCAAATGTCTCACATGATTCCCAACAAAGCGCTTTGAGTGCATTCCTGAGCAAATAGAAAACATCCGAACTAACACAGCTCACACTCTCCTCCCAGAGGGGGGACACACAGAGCAGCTCCTCACACTCCCCCAAAACTCATCACATGAGACTATGTTTGCGTTTGTCTTTGTTTTGTCTTGTTCTGAACATGAACGTGATGCAAACTTTACCATCCTAGTGGAGATTAACCTTTTAACTGCCTTGAGATGCCTACAAATGGCTGAACAGTCTTAAACTGCACTGAGAGATGACTCAGCAATGTCCTTTTCTATCTGTTATAAGTCTTTTCTATCTTACAAGGCCTTTTTTTGGTTTGTGCAGACAACACAGAGGATAAGACACATCTGTTAAGCTCTGACTTTACTGGTCCTCCCACATTTTAAAACTATTGCACTTCCTGCTAAAAATATATCACAAAACCTATCTGAGATACAGTATTTTTTTGTTAAGTATCTTCCTTGAATAAAGCAGGCAAAAATATCAACCAGACAGAACTCGCAAACTATTAAAGGTTTAAAAGACATTTACACATACTGGACTGTGTGGACTTTGTAGTTTTATTTTACCTCAACAACACACAATGGTGGTTAATCTTTCAGATCTTTCTATCACTATTGCTGTCTTCTATCAACAGCAGAGCTATTTGGGTGGGTTCTTCAAATGATTCTTGTCTCAGTGCTTCATTCCCTCATCGCTGTCCTTTGTTTGCACTGTAAAAAAAAACTCATACTAGGTTCACTGGAGGATAAGATGATGTATTTCAGTATAGCAGCATGGGAACTGGTCAATATTTGTTTACATTGATAGAAGTCTTCTAACAGTGGGTTATTTACTTTTGTTGCTCGGGCGCTGTCAGACGTATGATGACCAAACCCACACCCACACAGCTGACAGTCATATGATTATTGATGTTTGCTGCCACGTGTTGTATCTCAACACAATGTCGTTACAGTAATTTTGACTGTAAATGGGGCCAGTACTGACATGACTGAGAGAATTGAACAGGGGCTGTTCAGTCAGTGACCCCAGACCCCTTCCACATTCATAAACCTGCCTCTTTACTATAAAGCCACCTGTGTAGTGTCACATATGACAGCATATCAAGTATCATAAAGTGTAATCTGCAGAAAAAGCAGGCCTTCTGTCTCTTGTTGTGTTAAGCTTGCTGATAATGTGTGTGTGTGTGGTTTCCTGGAAACACGTGGCATCCCAGTCAACATGTCTTAACAAACATTCCAGTGAAATGTCACATGGCATTAAGCCGTAAACTGAGAGTCCGGGGCCGACAGGAACTGGGACAGCCCTGGGTGCTCTCGTGTGTCCTAAAGATGATCAAAGTCTGGTGGTTTTAAGAGACCTGAGGTTTCCACTAAAAGACTTCTAAAAAACTCTCTGCACTGAGCTTGTTCAGGCTGTTTGAATCCCTGCTTTATGATGCCATGAGGAGCTAAGTAAATGACTGAATACTTGGACTGGCAAGAAAAAGAGAAATCTAATCTCCCTGATGAGGAGACAGGCAGTCTGAGTCTACTTTGTAAATGATGTTCGTTACAAGCTTCAAAGTCTTAGTAGTTCACGTGCCTGGTCATACATTCAATTCATCTGTAAAAACACACTCAAAGGTGACAGCTACTTATTTTCAGACCTTGTTGAAACACTTAGAGCTTTATGTAAGTAGAGTGAAACTGAAATGAGAATAAAGATTACTCTAGATGACATTCAATGACTATGAATTTGATCAAATACCTACATCAAATTAATGTTAATACATGAGAAATATATTGTCCCATACAAATTACAATCTACTGTACCTGGTTATCTTGGCCAGTAATATATTTAGATCGACTTTTCATAAATTTCCGCAATTAGAAAATACATTGGGTTATTTTATATATTTCAGAACATGACTAATGTTTCTGTCAAAAGCATTATTAAGCTTCTAATCTTATACATCATAAAACAACCAATCGGAAATACTAGACAGTAAGTATTTTAGATTTAAAGTTGAGAGAGATGAGTTATCGTTTAGGGAAGACAATTGTGACTGAGGAGATTTAGGGAAACGCTTACAGCAGGGTGCTTAGGACCCTGCTGTAAGTGTTCAAAGGGCTAAAAACTAACTTAACTACTTCCCTAAAACTGTCACAAAGCAACGTTCTTTATTTTTTAGCTTGACGGTGGGCTCAGTCACAAGTGAACACATTCAAAATGCTATCTATCAAGTGACTAGAGGCAACACTAATGAGGCTTCCTGCTGTGTCTGTAGATAAAAAAGAATATCATTGTCGTTACCTTATCACTGTACCAATATTATTATTATTCAGACATCGACCAATGCTGAAAATTATCTCCAAATGCGATCATTGGCCAATGATTTATTTGGTCTATCTCTCATTTAAATGTTGTCACTGACGCCAGTTGGCATCAGACTCACCAGAGGGTAAAATAAATTATTAAGGGACAAACGTTTTTGTGACCCATAATGCTAGTCATGTGTTGTGTCTTAGCTGTAGCGCAGCCACCCAACTCTAATTCAAGTGGTACTTCTGGTTAATGGTTTCTGCCATATTGCTGTAATTCTCTGGTACGTGTATGTACACAAGCATGGCATCTCATAGCCTGGTGCAGTTTTGCAGTATTTAGATCTATCTTCATGTTTTAACAAGTCTAGGTCACTTTATTTCGACAACAACTGATGGTAACAACATATGACGAATCACATTTAACCAGTGGGTTTATGTTGCTATACAGTATATGAATTTTCAAAAAGTTGAAAAAGTCAAAACATCAAATTGGCATGTGTATTTACCAGCTCTGAGTTGTGTTTTTCTCATGTGTCTGACACCACATGAATGTTGCAACACCCTCCTGGTTTCAAAAATGAAACTATAAACCTGCTCTCCAAACAATAACCTGAAATGACTCCACTGGATACAAAACAAAGTTTAAATGTACATGACTGGATAAGAAAATTACTGATTATCCAAGAAATTATTCCTTTACTTTATCAGTGGCGTAGTATCTGTGAAGAGGGCAATGATGACGTTACTCTCAGTATCCGCTAAATTACAGATGAATAACCTGCTGTCATTTCTAGATAGCTTGTTCTTTGTTGAGCTCCCAGGGTGGTCCGTCTCTGAACCATCTTTTACAATAAGCTTTCATTACAAAAGATGATTACATGAAAACAATAACACAGTCACAGCACAATCTGGGCCTTTCTACTGCTGCATTCACTGTAATTGAACGCATTCTGGATCCGATTTAAATACCTAGCAGAATAGAAGATTGGGAAATAATCTGGGAGTTGTTTTCGTCCCAGACTGCACTAAGGCATGTGTTGGGAAAGAGACAGCCTTGACTGCGTCCCTGCTTTGTGGGAAAAAGAGCGCTGCCTCTAGGAAAGAATTCAGTTCTGTTTGTTTCCACAATAAGCCAATCCAAGTGCGTTAGAGTGAACACACCCTCCAACGCTGTGTGCTCCTGTCTGTTCACTTGAGATGTGAGAAAAAGACAAAATATTGAAGTGCGTTTTGTTTTAACACTCACTCAAATAACTCAAAAAAGACACTTTTATAGACTCTGACTGACTGAAGCTCCTTGTATAACCACAGCCTGATTCTGGGCCACCAAGAAAACTCAGCTGAGTGCACTTACACGGCTAATAAAGGGATTTACTCAAGTACGTCAAAGGCCATGAGACCACTTACATGTTCACTAACGACTAAAAACTACAATGAACTTAAACTTTAATAAGTGTGACGATTCTTGTCAATGTGAGTGAGAACCTGGAGAGAAATCTATTCTTCTGCTCTTGGTAATATTGGGCCGGTATCACATCTACACTCTCACTCTTCAGTCAGTCCAGTGCACACTATGCTCACTGCGTGTTATCAGAAATGTCTGCAGATAATACCTCTGTCGTTTTTAAAGCTAAGTTCTTCAAACATCTGTTTAAGGAGAGGTTCATAAC